GCGTTACGTCCGTCGCGTTACCGATAGAATATTTAAAAAAACATGACAACTTTTTTAACACTCACGTGATTAACAAATCATGTTCGGACGTACACATTACCCATCTGAATTTATTTATTCAATCAGGAAGAAGATATCGGTTGAAACAGGTGCGGGTAACGCGAATGTAATAATTGTTTGTCCGCTAAGTTACTCAAAAAAATAATAAAAATAAGGTAAGAAAAAATACTATTTTTCATGTTTATGTTTATTTTAGGGCACTAAAGCTCATTGAGAGTAATTAATGACTGTAATGTTTTATTAATATTTTTTAAATATGGTTTCACAAAACTTTGTCCACTGCGTTACCGAGTCCATTACGTTACCTTATGGTAACTAACACAGTGACTAAAAGAAAATATTACTGGTATTGTTTTTTTAACAAAGAATCGGAATGGTGTCTTTTAAAAAGTAACTTAACTAACATAAATATTTAAAAAAGGCATACCTACAATTTTTAATAAAAAATAAAATTGGAGTCAAAAGTTTGTGAACTAAGTACATTTTATTTCAAATTATTTTTATAACAACTTTTTTTATTGAATTAAATTTTGGATTTCAAATTGGTAACACAGTGGAGATATATAAAGCTAGCTAAACACATTTTTATGAAAAAAACGTAAAAAAAATTAAAGAGTGCACTGCCTGTCTTAAATGTAAGTAAACAAAACATTTATAAAAATCCAACCAAAAGTCAATTTAAGCAAAAAAAAATTTTGATCTTCATTTTCCTTCATCCATCTATTACAAATATGAAAAAATGTTTTAGACAAAATCTACCTATTTTTAGTCCAATGATCCGAATGTGCAATAAAAAATAGGGTGTTCCATTGGAAATTTTAAAGTTACCCCCTGTTCCCCCTATAAGGAGGAGAGTATGAGGACCAATTTTAGTACTGATTGATTTCCCCCCTCGAATCATTTAATTTTTATTTTAAACATTTTTTCGTAAAATGCATACTAACTGAGATATTTCAAATAACTCACCCTGTATATAATTGTTGAAGACCATTTTACCTAAGAGTTTGGGAAGAGAATACCACTCAAAACATCCGGCCTACATTTAAGTGTTTTTAGGTGTTAAAAGGCGACATCACTTAAAAACTAATTTATATGTTTGTGAAAACGTCACTGAAAAGTATCTCTTAAAAAGCCGACATTATAGGTTGGAATGGACTATATCTTACACCTAAGTACCGAGCGAAAGTTAAAATTAGATTTGTGGATGTATAAATAGAAAATGGTTTTATGATTTAGATTTTTATGTTTATTAGGGTTTAGTTACGAAAACATAAAGGGATGTGCAAGTAAATCCAAGGAATTTTGGAAAAATCACGATCCAAGAATCTATAAATAGAGGTGGAATTTTCAAATTCACAATCGTGAAGAATAAATATTCCTTCAAATTTAATTAATTAAATTAATGTATGGGTGATTCTACAAAAGTTGGACAACTTAATGTCATCAGTCAATAGAGTAGGTATTTTAATATTTTTTGTAAATCTTTTAGTATATTACAAAAGATCCAGGTTTTTTTTAACTTGTCCACCCAATTTTAATGTATTTTTTCAAAAGCACGTTTGTAGAAAAACATAATAAATATTCAAAACATCAGTACCTTGGCGTGTCACAACTCCTGAATCAAATATTTGAGTGATTTTATTTTAAAATATATTTAATTTATCTTAAACTTTTCAATTTCACCACAAACTATAAAACATTAAATAATGTATTTTTCATATTTTATCATGGATTCGAATAATAGCAATTTTTAAAAAATTGATAATCTGTGTACTCACTTTTACCCGTCAGTTCTATGTCCAATGTTAAAATTCAAAATTCCTGCGAAATATTGAAGTTTAAACGTCTAGGACTTTAACTCAAGTGTTGGTAACAAATTACCTACAGAGGTAATTTTTACGCGACAGTCATTTTGAAAACAATGCAAGCGGCGAAGTAGTGGTGAATGCACGTATAGTTCCAGTCAAAATTTCAGTACTGTGGTGAGTACACGGAAAAAAATCCCTAACTAGGTTTAAGAATAGTTCTATACTTCATGTTAGGAACTTGATTTAAGTATATTTATTATTTCTATAAGATTAGAGTACATTTAAACTAAGTAATGGGATATACTTAATTTTTAAGAAAAACTCTTACTTGATTTGAGATGAGTATTCTTGGATTGAGTTTAAAGGTATTTTATTTTAAAGAATATTGGTATACTTAAATCAAATATACAATAATGCTTAGATGAAAGAGCTCTAGTTTTTTACTCAAAGCGGAATATTGCCACTTATTTTAAGTATTCTGTATATTTGTATGAAATTTCGGTATACTTTATTTAAATATATGTATATTTAATACAAGAACGCTTATACTTCAAGTTAAGTATAAGACCTCTAGAACAAAGAATACACTATACTGTATTTAAGTATAGCTATTATTAAAACAAATACCTAATTCTTCGCTTAAGTAAATACCGTCCACCCTTCGCTAAAAGAAAAGACGCAGTTTCTGTGTTCAGTTCTGTCCTGTGTTCTATGGTGGTAGCGTGTGTTCGTTTTTTCCTTTTTCGGTCTGGATGTTATTTTTAATAAAAAATAATGGAGAAGAAACTTAAAAATTGGGGCTTAGAATGTTTACTAGACACATTTTTGGGTAAGTAAATAATATTTCATTAAGTTAAAGTAATTAACTAGGCATGATCGTAAAAATGTAGTGTAAAATGGATATGTATACTGTAGTGTAAAATGGATAGCATACGACAGGTAATAGACAATGGCACATAAACAGCAGAAAGGCTATAGCCTCCAATTCAGCTATATTATTTTTGTTTTAGAAAACGAGATAGATCTCGATATTACGGTAAACCTAAGCAAGGAGAATTTAAAGGAATTAATTCCAAAAATAGGATTGAGGATCAAGGTTAGAGAAAAAATTGAAGAATTAACACCAAACCATCGATAATGGTAGCCTTCTTAGAGATAAATTTTACTGACAATAAAAATACCTACTTAAAAAAATAATAACTATTGTGTTTAAAAACCTTACCTTTACATATAGCACCAAAAATGTGATACCTAGGTACTTAAAAAAATAAAATGTAAAATAAAGTATCTATGTTAATTAACCGTGAAAGAATGAATTTATATAAATTGACAGTACTTTTTCTAATACCTCTAAGACTGTTAGGTAATAAACCTATTGTGATATCAGTGCCTATTATACTTAGTACTTTAGTACATTAAAATAATTAAAATAATCTGCCAAAAATAATGTTAAATTACTGTCATAACGATTATATTTTCACTTTCACTTGTATTTTCCGTAGTGGTAGGATAATTAGGTAATACAAATATTTTTCAGGGTCACGAATGTTTTTTTTTGTAAAAACTATTCCGAGTCGCTAGACGAGGGAATTTTTTTTCCAATCAACCACTTTCTTTAAGAATAGTGTAAAGTTATTTTAAATACATACTATACTTTTATCAAATATAAAAAAAGGAAAAGTAAGAATACAAGCATTTTATGCAAGTAAAGCGTGTACTTACAATAAGTATAAATAAATAAATTTTAAAGAAAGTATATTCTTAAAACAAGAATACTGTAAAGATTTTACAAAGAAACTATACTTTGATGAAGTACATACTAACGTTACAACAAGAATACCGTAGTCTTCATTGAAGACAAATTTGTATACTTAACTCAAAATTAGTGTGTTTTTTATTTTTAGTATAGCAGTAATCTTAGATTAAACCGAAGCTATCTTTATTTTATAAGAATATGAGGATACTTGAAACAAGTATAAATTTACTTGCGGAATAGGGAAACTAAGCTATACTTGGATAGAGTTGAATTTTCTTGGAATCAGTATAGATTTTTTTCCGTGTAGTTATTTTCTTACGTATATATATTTTATTGTAATTTATATAAGGCTATATGTGATTTGTTGATAAGTAGCATCCACTAATAAAAAATATCAGTAAAATACTTAATTCCGAATTATAATCTCAAATTTGTATCCAATTCATCAGTACTGTTTCGTCAGTTCCATGTTCGATGTTTCGGTTATCTTTTTTAGGCAAACTTCAATTTAAATTCTGCTTGCGCAGAACTTGTTTATTTAATGTCATTATAAACTCATATAAATTTGGTGTGGGTCCCATATCTAATAATTGAGATATTGGTATACCCAAAATCCACCAGCCGCCACTGATGTGTGGTATTATTAGATTTTAAGATATTTAATGTATAATATGCTTAAAGTTGCAATAAATCTTATATTTTCCAATAAATTATGTATTTAATTAGTACCCTGGTATACTCGTCACTTCTCTTGCATTCAAATTTAGAAAACACAGATATTTCAAAAACTGTTTGAAAAAGTGACTGGCCCGGTCTGGAACAGTATATTTATTATTATCTATGTTCTCATAACAAAATACTGTTTAATTTTCTACGAAAACTATATAAACAAAATGAGTTCAAAATTTGACCAACTTTTGTAGAATCACCCATATTTTAATTTTAATAAAAGAAAAAAAGAAATTTTTATTGAACTAAAATCGCACAATAACGTCGTTTTCTTAAAATATTAAAAAATATTAACTTTATTATTCAATGGTAATAATTAAATTAATTTTGAAATAGAACCTTATTTACCAGTAACAGATTACAAATTTAGTAGTAAAATATATAGGTAGGTACTTTGTTGAACGAAATACATATTTTATTATTGTGGAGTTTAAGTTTGAAGTTTTAGTATGCAACTGGGTTTAATTTATTTGACAGCATTTTTTAAAAAGTGCGCATTCCTTGGTATAACGTTTCTAGATTTATCGGTTTTATTTATCCAAAATTATTACTTTGAAAATAACTTATTCTCAATAAAATGTCAAATGTTTTTGTATTTAAAAAAAATCGAATAAAAAATATTTTTTTTATTTAAAAAAAATTCTTACCATTGTGGGTGGAAAATTTGTTCAGAGGTTCACTAAATTGCTGTAATCTTTCACAAACATACTGTCCAGTTGAATTATTCTGAAACAAAAAGAATTTTATAATTACAGGGTGCTATGACTAAAAATAATTTATAATAACCTTTATCCTACCAAAAAGTACGCCACTGATGGACTAGGAACTTTAGGCTAATCTGGTTGCCTAATTTAATTTATTATGTTATGGTTGGTAACAACCAGCGTTTTCAGATTCTGTCAAAAAAGGTGCCAGATTTTGTTTAAAATTAGCTTTATTACAAAAATTACAAAATCAATAATGCGAATTTTTATTTGGCGTTTTTATTAATTGTTTATAATGTCATTTTTGTAATGAAGGTAAATTCCAACAAAATCTGGCAACTTTATGACAGAATCTGGTGCATTTCTTTCAAATTTTAGGTTATGTGCTCAAATTGTAAGTATCTTAACTAAGGGAAGTGCTTTTGGATTTATTTACACAAATTGAATGATTAAGGTTTAACCTGTGGACTTGTCCCAATTTCATCTGAGTAAACAAAAAGAAAAAAACCGATGAAAAAATTAATTTTGTGGTTATAGTTTTTAAAATAAATTTTCTAATCATTGCTTAAGCTAATAGCTGGATTAGTAAATAAATACAGAAGGGTATTAGAGCTTAAAGGGCATACAAATTTTGTATTTATTGAGTTTTTATTTATTTTTTGCAAGAAAAAATTTTTAGTAACAATTTTTTACAACTTGCAACGCGCAGCTACTTCGTTGGTTGGTATCTACGAGGGTGTTCAGAAAATATCGGGAATTTTCGTTTTTTGAAACAAATATTTATTTATTCGTCTACATTAATATTGTCGCCTTCAAAATAGTCCCCATTGGATATTATGCACAGGTGCCAGCTCTTCTTCCAATACTCGAAACACTTCCAAAACTCGATCTTTGGGATAGCCTTTAGTTCTTTCAGCGATGCGCTTTTAATGTCATCTATGCTTGCAAAACGACGGCCCTTTAAGGTTCTTTTTATTTTTGGAAATAGGAAAAAGTCAGACAGAGGCATGTCTGGCGAATATGGAGGCTGGGGCATCATTACAGTATTGTTTTTGGCCAAAAATGTTGTCCAAAATTTAACAATTTAAGAACAAATTTTGCTGCCACGCGTTTCATACCCAAAACATTCGAAAAAATTTCATGGGATGAGCCAATCGATAGGTATACTAACATCATCAGCGACTTCTCTGATGCTTATAAGCATTTATTCCCCTTTTTCCATGTTTTTATCGGTTGTTAATGCGCTTGTGCGTTCGGGGCGTTCGTCATCTTCAACGTCTTCACGGCCATCTTGGAAACTCTTATACCACTTGTAAACTCTTGTTTTACTTATAGCAGACTCACTATAGGCCTTTGTTAACATTTCGTAGAATTTATTTCATTTTTTAAGCAAAATTGGATACAAATTCTTGATCCATTTCTTTTAACGAACGAAAAATCGCCGAGCTCATAAAACACGTCTAACCTTAGCGGCTGCCACAGATAAAGTAAACAATGAAAACAGCTAGTTTTTATCATACTTCGGGGGATGTATACCAACATAATAAAGAAAATTTTATGACAACCGGACCCTCTGAACCCGCGAAATTTAACAATTCCCGTTATTTTCTAAACACACGTGTGTAACCAGTGGCTTATCACAAAAAATATAAAAAACTTCCGTTACACCTTATGTCATAAGGTATTCAGTATTTTAATATATTTCATTAATTTCACAACACCCTGTATATATTTCTTGTGTATACAAAGACTTAAAAAATTCATCCTTAATTTTCCTTTTCTAATTTTTAAAATCTAATCTTTAAAACTTTCGAAATATTTAAAATATACAAAATATTCTTTAAAAGTTAAGTCGCTTTAAATGAGCTAGTTTGTTTAATTTTATATTAATTTGATTTCTTAATTTAAAAAAAAATCTCCATAAATCTATTTAAGAATATATATATGTATATGTCCACTGGATCCATTAAATTTGTAATTCAAAGTATAAGCCATTTATATACTCTGACACAAGTCAAAACATTTATAAATAGTACCTATTTAATTAATTACAAATGTATTTAACAAATCTATTATAATATATTATGTATCAAGTTTGATAAATGCCATTTTATACACGAAATGAGTGTATAGAAAAGTTTATAAACGAGGTGCATACTATACTTTTTCAACGACAAATACTATAGAGCGCCATCTATGAAACAATAGGGGAATCTGTGTGTCACCGTCAAATGTCACATTTTTAAATTTTATAAACACAGATTATAAAGGTTATAAATCGAAATGTATTTCTTGAAAATTGACAATTTTTCACAGTAAAAGTAAATAAAATGTTTTATGAGGACTACAGTGGAGTCCGTGCCCGAATTTAAGTTATAGTTTATTGCCGGCGAAATTAAAAGGTCAGTACAATGTTCATATAAACTTTTCAAATATTGGCGTTTTGAAACTATTCTAGGGTGGCCTTTATTATCTTGTAAGTACCACTTTGTAAAATATAAATTAAAAGAACAAAGAAATTACGAATGTCAATGTTTTAGAAAGAGAGAGCAAACAGTTAGTAATTATAGCGTTATTTTTACATAAATTTGTGGTATTTATATTGTTTTTATTACGTTATTCTCTTAGTAGATCAAAAAGGTTATTATGTAGGTAAAATAACGAAATAAACCCTTCCCCAAATTTGATAATTTTTCGTATCTATACCGTTATAAAAACCGTTTTGGTTAACCGTAAAAAATACTTTAAAGTTGAGTTAGTTGTAAATTTGTTGTTATTTAAACTTAAAATGATGCTTGGGATAAAATTGGTTGTGTGTATATTTGATATGCCGATAATAGGAGCATACGATATCCTGTATAAATACGAGCCCTAACCACATAATGTTCGGACACTTCATAATTTATACAGAAATTTTTTTCGTGAATACTATCTCAAAATTATTAGAAGTTATGAAAAATTCAGCTTATTTTGGCATATACCCCTCGAAGCGATTTTTATTTTTAAAAAGTTTACCTTTTATTTTTAGCTTTTAAAAAAAGGCTAACTTTTTAACTTTTTTTTGTATGAGTAAAAAAAGTTATAAATGGACCCATTAAAAAGAGCATAAAATATTATACAAACCCTGAAAATTTGGTAAAAAATAAATAAGTTATAAAAAAGTATAAGTAATTTAAAAATGCTATTTTTAAAGAGTTTTTGCAATTTTCTTAGGAAACGGGAGATTTTGCAGATATATATATCGCTATAACTTTCTTATTATTTATACAATTTTTACCAAATTTTCAGGGTTTGTATAATATTTTATGTTCTTTTTAATGGGCCCATTTATAACTTTTTTTACTCATGCAAAAAAAAGTTAAAAAGTTAGCCTTTTTTTAAAAGCTAAAAATAAAAGGTAAACTTTTTAAAAATAAAAATCGCTTCGAGGGGTATATGCCAAAATAAGCTGAATTTTTCATAACTTCTAATAATTTTGAGATAGTATTCACGAAAAAAATGTCTGTATAAATTATGAAGTGTCCGAACATTATGTGGTTAGGGCTCGTATATTAAATACCACACAAATCTTGTATTTTAACTTTTGTGACGTAAATATGGCGAACTGACAAGAAGATATCCAACTTGATGATAACTTGTGGAATCTGTTAATAGTATTTTAAATATGTGTTGACAGCAAGGTGAAACCAAACTACCTAGTGACAAATTTATATTGTATTTTCAACGTATCTCATATACCTACACTGCTCAACAATTGATGTGGATATTAAAAGAAATTTAAAATAAAAAATGTCAAGGAGGTACATTAGGGTGATTCATTTCCGCAAAGTTTTTGTTTTTTTTCGGTGCTCAAGCAAATATTAATCTGCATATAGAAAAAAACATTCTCACCAAGTTTGAGCTCTTAATATTAATTTTAAGCACTTAGTATTTAAATTTAAAGTTTTACCGTTTAAAATGCATGTAAAAAATATTTTTTTTTTTAAATTTCTAATGCTTACCCACCTTTTACAATATTGCAAATCGGTTTAATACACCTTATGGGGAATTTCACGCTCTTTAAAATTGCTTTTGAGTTTTTTTTTGTAACTCGCATTGGTTCACCAGTAGGAGTCGTCAAAGGACAGTTTTTGAAAAAATTATTAATTGTTGGTTATTTCATTTTTGTACTGAAGGTAAATTCAAACAAAATCTGCCAACTTTTATGACAGAATCTAGTGCATTTCTTTTAAATTTTAGGTTATGTTTTCAAATTGTAAATATCTTAACTAAGGAAAGTGCTTTTGGATTTATTTACACAAATTAAATTAAAGTTTAACCTGTGAACTGGTCCCAATTTCATCTGAGTAAACAGAGAAAAAAACTGATGAAAAAATTAATTTTGTGGTTATGGATTTCAAATCTCAAAGGTACTAAATTTTCTAATCATTGCTTAAGCTAATAGCTGGATCAGTAAATAAATACAGAAGGGTATTAGAGCTTTAAGGGCATAAAACTTTTGTATTTATTGAGTTTTTATTTATTTTTTGCAAGACAAATTTTTAGTAACTATTTTTTACATCTGGCAACGCATAGCTACTTTGTTGGTTGGTATCTATGTACTCACAAAATACAGGTGTGCAGAGATAAACAAGTGTGTAACCAGTGGCGTATCACAAAAAATATAAAAAACTTCTAATGCATATTTTTTCTTTATTTTTGGAAAAATGTTTTTTTTAAATATTTTTCCTTTATTCCTTATGTCGAAAGGTATTCAGTATTTTAATATATAACATTAATTACATAACACCCTGTATGTATAAAGATTTGATTAAAGGATTGATTAATAATGAAATATGGTCTTTTTATAAGGGACTAAAGAAAAAATGGACAACTGTAATGAGGAGGATCTTCCTATTAATATTAAGACCTCAAATTTGGTGAGTACCTTCTAGAGGTGAATAAGAACCAATTTTCCAGTTTCGGAGGTAAAAAAAATCGATTTTTTCACCCCAGTGTACCTTATAATTATTAGAATATTGTTCTTTAAGTCTAGAAATTGATTTTAAGCATAAAAGGCTGGTCCATTAATAATTAGTCATCCAATAAGGATGTCATATTTCGAACAGCTCAAAATAGGACATCCTTATTGAATGACGAACTAAAAACATTGTTACATGACCATTTTAAATTGCAAGTTATTAAAGATTTTATTTAAATTCAGAATTTTTGGCAACTAAAATTAAGTACCTATCAATTAATAAAATGAAATCAAAAGAGACAGCGTAATGTACCATGGAAATTATTTATTTATAAGTCTAAAGAAACGGTATAATGTTTCTAAAAATACTTATTTTAATGATCGTCGGTTATTTAAAATATACCGGGGTTCAAAATTTCAATTGCACAGCTAAATCGCACACGTTATTTGTGTTTTGCGTTGCAAGTAAAAACTGAAAAACTTTAGTTCTCGATTTCGATTTATTATTCCTTACATCATTGGTTAAAAAACTCAACGCTCATGGGTGAATCTCACGAAATGTCCCCCGATGGTGATATTTAATAAAACTAAATGAGTTTGACTTACACTTTTATTGTGTTTTGATCTTTCATAATTAAGTAGATATTACAGCTCAGGTTCTAGATGTTTAACCGCAATTAATTATTTTTTACAATGTTTTAAAAGTCTAAAACCTATCCTCCGTGACTTTTACTCTTTCTAGGTTAACCTATATGTTTTCAAATATCTGAGGTAGTAAAAGTATACTAAAATATCAGTTCACTAAGTAAATTAAACACATCCAAACAATCGAATCAAATATAAAATATTATTAAAAATTAAAAGAAATAATTTTTATAACCATTTATGTAGGTGATTCTATCCTCCGTGAATCTGTTTTTGCTTTAAATTTTATGCAACGGATGGCGCTTTAATCATTTTAAATAAGCAAAAACCTCTGTTTACGACATTATAGATGCATGTGATTCCTAAAGGTCAGTTAGAATTTATATGCAGATGAGAGTGTTGCTGTTTTATAATTCAAAAGTTTAAGTTCATTAATTTGCTATTTAAAAACCTATCCACCGTGAAGTGTAATATCTCAGTAAGAAGATTTTCTTATAAATATTTTATGTATGTACAATTGTATTTTTTAAAAATATTAAGGTGTCAAAAGACACAATAACTTATTTCAAATATACAAAGGGTTGTATAAAAATAAACATACGAAATCCTAACCTCCGTGAAGATATCTTCCGTGAAGCTCTAATATTCAAAATGTATGATTTCTTAAAATTCTTGCATTAGTGCAGAACCACTTATGTTATGTTATTACTAGTATTTGGGAAATTTCTACTCTGCAGAGTTACAAAAAACGTTTCAAAACTTCATCTTTAATTTTATCCCAATTTTTTATAGGGGGGCTGATATGTATTTTTTACTAATTTATATTGTGACGGTAATTAAAAAACTAGAGCATGACTATATTTAAAGGTGCCGATAATAGGCGCATTAACACCCTGTGATATGTATTTTTTATAAATATAAATATTTATTTTAGGTCATCATTAAAATTCCTAATTTTTTTTAGATCTCCATACTAATTATAATTAGCATTTATAAAATACCCATAAATTTAAATACCCTATTTAATAATTTGATGTGTTACATGTCATATGCCGACCATATGTTCATTTTAGATCGTAGGTATTTAAGTTTTATCTAATAAGATATTAATTTAACCGAAACAAATCTTTAAGGGGGCATTTTTTTAGTAAAAAAGTAAAAAAATAAAATTAATGGGTTAATATTTCTAAAAGACCCATATTAAATTATTGAACCTAAAATTCATATTTCTTATGTCATTCAAAGTATAAATTTTTATGATTTTGAAATAATATTTTAGCAATTATAGTGCCTTATTCTCTACGTTTTTAGTTGTTCTATCTAAATTGTAAAATTAGTACAGTTTAGCATTTATGATAACGAAAAGTGTGCGTTTCGGGTGTTTCACAATTCTACCTCTATGTCCTGACCGTTGTTACATTTATTTGAAATTCAGCGAATTTTCTTAGGGAAACATTCCTAAAAATTACAGGCCTCCAAAAGTATAATATTTACTAACCATCTACCACATAATCACTGTCTGTTTCGGGTGTTACAAGTACAAAAATTAAACACTTTATATGGACAAAATCGGTGTTTTATCAGTCTCTAAGTACTACAAAATAAGTACCTAAGTAAAATCGTTATTATTGCCAAAAATCGGTAGAAAAATAATTATTGACAAAAATCTAAGTATTTTGTATTTTAGTAGGTCCGTTCCATTTAGGCAGAAATACAGAAATTTCGGTAGGTTCGACAACACCATCGGAAAGCAGTCACACCTCTTTAAAAGAGGTGTGACTGCTTTTCCGATGGCGGCGCTAGTGGGCCGTCGAAAGAGCCTTAAAAATAATACTTATTGCATTCTTCAAGCAATACACACACATATATCGACTATGAAAAAAATTGAAACACCCGAAACGTTTCGGGTGTTACAGTTTTTAATCAAGAAAAACACATATCAAATTAGTCTCATGCTCAGATATTAGTTGGTATTTTAAATCATTACCACCATAACCTTACTTTTACTAAATATTATTACACCAATCAATCTGTAAGGTATAATAATAAAACAATTACATGATTTTTCGTTTCGGGTGTTACAGTGGCAAAGTAAGAAGAAAACACACTTATAACGTGATAATTATCAAATTTTTCGGGACTGTGACGCAATCCACCAATACTACGATAAATAATCTCAAATCACAACGTGGCAAAATGGCGAATATGAAGGCTGGGGCATCATTACAGTATTGTTTTTGGTCAAAAATTTTGTTCAAAATTTAAAAATTTTAGAACAAATTTTGCTGCCACGCGTTTCATACCCAAAACATTTGAAAAAATTTCATGGGATGAGCCAATCGATATACCAACATCATCAGCGACTTCTCTGTTGGTTTATAACCATTTTTTCCACTTTTTCCATGTTTTTATCGGTTGTTAATGTGCTTGGGCGTTCGGGGCGTTCGTCATCTTCAACGTCTTCACGGCCATCTTGGAAACTCTTATACCACTTGTAAACTCTTGTTTTACTTATGCAGACTCACTATAGGCCTTTGTTAACATTTCACAGAATTTCATTTTTTAAGCAAAATTGGATACAAATTCTTTGATCCATTTCTTTTAACGAACGAAAAATCGCCGAGCTCATAAAACACGTCTAACCTTAGCGGCTGCCACAGACAAAGTAAACAATGAAAAAAGCTTTTATCACCCTCAGTATCGTTTGTCATGGAATGACTCTACTGTAATTGTTAAATATCTCTAAAATTTATTAAAATTACAATGTTTTAAGAATCCAAAAATGTAGGTATTTTTACTTAAAACCAATGATTAATTTTTAACACTTTTCAAAAATTGTGATGATTGATTATACGTACACCCAAATAAATAAATTTTGGCATAATTTCAATTTATAATGAAAATTATGTTTTGGGAAATATGTACATACTTAAAAAAGAAAAAAACACATCTAGTAGGTATAGTAACTTACATGTATGTATAAACGATTAATAGTTTGTCTTTCTGTCTAGAAAAGTTGGACTTGGGCCAAGATACTAAAATATGCAACTAATTCGTGTCTTGTGCCCTTTCGAATTCTAGACGTTTGTCTAGGGTAAAGTAGGGCAATAAGACGCAGTTGCGTTTTACTATACTATGTGAAAATGAATATTGTTTATTTTTGGTTGTTTCACTGTTAGTCTGGAATGGGGTTTTTGGGAAGCCACCAGGTCTAGTATAACACATAACATAACATAAAAAAGAACGGTTTTATAAAAGGTATACCTCATTCGGTTTTACCCCGTGTTGCCAAATATCGAAGGTTAAGGATCACGAAAAACAGTTTTTCTCGATTATTTCCCAAAGTATTAATTTTAAGTTAATTTTGGTGGTATTAAAATTTGTTCCTCATGCAAATCTCTATTAATATGGTCCCATACAAAATTTACCTAAGACAGATCGTTTTCGAGATATGGGACTAATTAAACTTTTCTCAGTATCATATCGCGAGAACTATCAGTCCTACGTAAATTTTGCATAGAACCATTTTTATGCAGATTTATCCGAAGATTTTTCGTGACCTTTGACCTTCGATATTTGGCAACGCCGCGGCACGATTTTGCTAGGGAATTGACAACATTACGCTTTCATCCATATTGGCCGCAAAAAAAATATATAATATAAAATAGCTTTAGACTTACCAAGTAATCTGAGCTAGCACTATTATTTTTAGAATCCAGACTATTTTTTGATCCCTGTAAAATTTCTTCCAGGTACTCTATGTATTCTATAGCGCTTCTCAATATTTCCACCTTGGGTAATCTTTGGCCAGGGTTGTTACAGGTTCTTTTTTTAAGCAATTCGAAAGCTTCATTTACCTGAAATCAAAAAAATACCAGGTACAAATATTTCGTTAAAAAAATTGAATTCTGAAAAAATTATGTACTTCCAAATTACTGGGAGAATTTTAGGGATTTTTTACAGAAAAAATTAAAAACATCAATGATGTATTATTATTTAAACTTGTTAAATTAGTAACTAATAAAAGAAACCTATTGGTATTATTACTAACTATAGTTTAATATTTGGTTTATTTATAGTCAATTTAAACTCTTGAAATAGCATTTTTTCGAGGAAAAGTCATTTTTCATAATTTCTTTTGCTTGTTATATAAATACGATTCTCGTTGAGAAACATCCATTTTGTTGTACAGGGTGAGCAAAAATACAAATTTTCAAAATTAAAATTTTTTAAATATTTTTTTTGGAAGCGCTAATATAACGAACTGCTAAGGAAAAATCAAAAAGCCAAATGAAGTTTTTTGATGCTAAGATATTTGATATTGAAAATTAAGGATATTATAATATTATTATGAATCAAGGTTGTTGCTTATAACATATCTACAATGTCTACAATTAATTGTTAAAACAAAATGAGATATCTTAGTAACAACAACTCACATGAAAAAACTTTATTAGGCTCTTCATATTAGAATATATTCACAATTTTTTTAATTTGGCAAAAACTACAATTGTATTTTTTTGGGCACCATTTATAACAAAATAAAAGTTTCTCATCGTGAATGGTATTTATATAACAAGCAGAAGACATTATGAGGAGTGACTTTTCTTCGAAAAATTAAAAATAAATATTTTTATCTCCACGCGGTCTATAATTTAAACTTTATTGTTGTCAACATTCGATAAAGAAATACCTTGTTATGGCCTAGGCCGATAAATTTTTTTAGGCAAGTAATTAGTTCGATTTTTTCTCGCTAGGGGTATTGTTTTGACAAATTAATTCTTTTATAAGAAATTAACTAACTGGTTTAATTTATTTATAATAAGCACTAAAAGTAGAGTAGTAACTAGGGATGGGCAAAACTAACCGCTTATTTGATAACCGGTTATTTTGCTATAGGTTAACCGGTTAATATCCGGTTATTCATCAACCCCAGTTAACCGACAACCGGTTATTCTTAAAATGCTTTCGAATAATCTGCTAAATGGAAAACACTAAGCTGCTAAATGCTGATAAAAGTTTTTACAAAATCACCAGAATAAAATAAAATCACCAAATCTGAAGAAATTTCACCAGACCTGACAAACCAATCAATGATTGGCAATCATGGAACTTTCTCATTATTAGTTTATAGACTAAAAATGAGATGGCGCTTTTGTGTTAATTTTTTTTTTAAATACACATGTAGGATTTTATTTTAACCATATAGGTAATCGTATAATATCCTTTTATTACAACTACAAGGACTTATTACTGATACTAAGTACTGGAGCTCCATATGGTCTGTTTGTTGATGCTATAATAACCTGCACTGGTGTTTGCTAGTGTTCTTTTTAAGCAATCAGTTTTAAATATTGCTTCACTAACTTACACCAGTGTAGAAAATAATTATTCTAAAAAGTCGCCAGAAAAGGTTATTATTAACCGGTTATTGCATAACCGGTTATTTTCCATCCAGTTAACCTGTCTTAGGTTAACTGGTCTTTAAAAATAACCGGTTAACTGTTAACCGGTTTTTTTACAATAACCGCCCATCCCTAGTAGTAACGCCATCAACCTATCCAGCTTACAGGCAAAGCACTAATTTGTTTGTTTTACTGTTAATGTTTAATATTTTTCATTAAATTATTGTAAAATTAAATATGAATATTAAAACAAAAAGTGAGGTTAGGCAACCAAGAAAACGCATGATTCTATTTCTACGATTTAAACTATATATATCTTTAAGTTTTAATTTGCTTTAAGTTTTTAGTAAAATTAAATGTTAAACACAGCTTAAACATTCCAAACTACCTATTTTTTAAATAAAAATCCAAAAATCTAAAAGCAATAATAATTATTGTACATTTAATGTAATCTTTAGCTAATAAATAAATGAGATTCTAAAAAAGTGAGGTTAGGCCGCTTTGATGTTGAATTTAAATTGACCTATATAAAGTGCTTTGAAGATAAAATGTTGTATGCCATTCGGCCAAGAAGTGCCTTTTTGTGCTTCGCTCAAATGTAGGCCTCCGCTACGCTTCGGCCTTCAAACCTTGAGCTTAGCACAAAAAGCCTTACTTCTTAACCTAATGACATAAATAACTATTACGTAAAGTTTTAAGTATAGTTAAGTAAATTCCCGGACACACTGTATATATATACATATATGAGTATTAATTTGTAAAATCAAATCATTTTCGCAATATAATTTCAATTTGAAAAAATCGAGTATGCCTTGAAAATATTAAAAAAACTATTTTTTCAACTCCCACCTTTAAAACGCCCTTTATCGTAAATACACTAAATGACCTTTTAAATACACATTGACAAGTTGTGGCTTTATGGCGCTTTAGTCACGGGCTGAAGTTATCAACAGATTTTTAGTCACGGGCTGAAGTTAGTTTTAAGTTAGTTGACAGTTATCAAATGTCATACAATCGTTAAAATAAAGTGCCTTTTTTGTAAAATAATACTAAATGTGAAAATTATTTTATTACCTCAATACAAAAATACAAAAGTATTAAATAGTTTCTCAACGCCAATATTTGAAAAGTTTATATGAACATTGTACTGACCTTTTAATTTCGCCGGCAGTAAACTATAACTTAAATTCGAACTGTAAAGTGCTCATAAAACATTTTATTTACTTTCACTGTGAAAAACTGTCAATTTTCAAGAAATACATTTCGATTTATAACCTTTATAATCTGTGTTTATAAAATATAAAAATTTGACATTTGACGGTGACACACAGTTTCCCCTGTTGTTTCATAGATGGCGCTCTATACAAATTTTTGATTTAAATCATTTTAAGATAATAATAAGTATTTGTCGTAGAAAAAGTATAGTATGCACCTCGTTTATAAACTTTTCTATACACTCATTAATTTAAGCACTCGCTTACTCTTACGTATACCAAATTTCAAAATTCTTGGCCAACTAAGATTTTTATTTTTTTTACTATTTTTTGTGTTGGTAAAGTCCCTTTCATATGGGATATACAACAAAATATTATAAAGAAAAATTGTTTAGAATCATATTTTAGGTCCATATATTTCAAATTTATTGGCAAAATTTAATTTTTATTTTTGTACTACTACAAAATCAAAGTGGCCTTGAAATTTGGTTTGGTATATGGACCTTAAATATGATTCTAAACAACTTTTTTTTATAATATAATTAATTTAAATAATAATTTGTCGTACATCCCATATGAAAAGCACTTTACCTCCACAAAAAATAGTTTTTTTAATATTTCCGAAAATAAAATCTGTATTCAATTTTTTTTGGATTTTACAATAATCATTTCACCTAACCAGGGACACTGTATATAGGGTGAGTCATTTAACTTAAAAATTTAAAATATCTCAGTTTGTATGCATTTTACAGATCAAATTTAGATCATTCGACTAAAAATAGGTGGATTTTGTTTAAAACATTGCTGTAATAAAATCAATTTTGTTGTTCGATTTTCCTTCTATATACGATTCTGCAATAATTTTTCTATAAAAACATCACTTTTTTGGTAATAAGTATCTTATTAAATTAAATCTGATTTTTAAAGTACACAGGAATTTTTAACTAATATTTAAGTTTCCTTTGGTTTAAGTTTTATACATTATTTCATTCGGTGATAATTATCAATTGCGCACCATGGTCACTTTTTACCTGCAGCATTAAATCCTTTAATTTAAAGGATAATTGTACTATTTTTAATGAAAATGCCTCATTTAAGGTTAAAAAAACATTATTTTGTCAATTAAATAATTAAGGTATAAAAAATGGTATTTAGTTATAAATAATAATTATTATTGAAGTATAAAGAAACTATTTATAGTTTAATTTAGTTCGAAGATTAATTTGCAAACAAAAATACCTCCTTTCGTTAAGCAGTTATTCATAATGGATTTTTTAACAGTGAAAGAAAAAATAGAAATGATTTGATACGCTCAGCGTTTTCCGGATAAAATTCGATCACGTACAGTCAAGCAGTTTAATATCCCAGAGCACTGTTATTAATAAATGCTACTAACTTGAAGCTCTTTTAAGATATAGTCACCAAATTTGGAACACAAATAAAATAAACCCTACACTATATTCACACCAAATTGCAACTTTCTAGGTGTGCTAGATTCCAAAATATGGGGTAAAAAGTGTACCTTTCGTAGGCGCCGTCTTTCCCTTAATGTAGCAGCTTTTCTACGATCGATGGCAACTGTTTTTTTCTTGCAGGCCTTGCAGGCCCACGCGAGGCACTTTCTAGGTCCTTTTTGCGTGCAGGACGAATCGGTGGGTTCGAGTATATGATCGAGGTCCTTCTCATCAGAAAACTCGTCTAATTCGCTGTCAATCAAAGAATCTGCAGTCTCGTATCCTTTGTCCAATTTTGGAGTTTTTGGGTCTTCTTGGTGCTCCTTTTTGGACTCTTTTTTTTTCGTTTTGACCTTGATCGAGTCGTCCGTGGATTTTTTATGCTTCACATCGTCGGTCTCACTGTATTTGTTGTTATTAGAGTAGTACAACTTGTTGTAATCCGTCGAGTAAAAGTTTTGGTAGAAATTCATATTTTTTGACACTTATCACTTGGTTTCACTGCACAACATCCCAGGGCCTTACACTTAAGAATACTACAAGTTTTGAGTGGCTCATACCCCCCCTACTATAAAGTATTTTCCGTCTCTTTTTGAATAAGCACATGTGTCATTTAGATATACTAATATAAATTTAAATGCTAAAAATAAGTTTTGTAGAACCACCCACTATTTGTCACTAGATGTTTTTGTTGTATATATATTTTTTTGGTAAAAAACTAAAGCGATTAAAAATTTAGAGGACAAAAAATCTAATTGATTTTATTTAATTCAACTAAATTAACAAAAAAAAAATACAAAGTCAATTTTTAAGTCAGTAGGCGTGGCCCAATATATCGGTGATTGGTTAAGCATTACTATAACCACGCCCATATTTATCAATCCAAGCCAACTTGACTTAATTGGGGCTATAAGTAAATTCCTACTTAGGGTTAGGTTTCTAGGTAAACCTATATTTTTTCAAATATCTGAGGTAGTAAAAACATACTAAAAATATCAGTTCACTAAGTAAATTAAACACATCCAAAGCAATCGAATCAAATATAAAATATTGTTAAAAATTAAAAGAAATAGTTTTTATAACCATTTATGTAGGTGCTACAAAAATTGATTCTATCCTCCGTGAATCTGTTTTTTCTTTAAATTTTATGCAACGAATGGCGCTTTAATCATTTTAAATAAATAATAATAATAATAATAATAAATAAATAGTAATAAAAAATATTTTTATCACCCTATACCTATATGAATTTATTTTTCGATTCCTTGTAAAATTCTGAACATAATTCATATAACAAACCATTTACCTAAACATTCAAAATGTTATCAATAAATGTTTTTTTTAAACTGTTAGAAATCAAGAAGCTTTAGTACACCAAAATTTTACTATTTTACCAGTTACTATAGTGACATTATGTCAAAATGTCTTGTTAAATAAGTAAAAATGACTGACAGAGGAAGACAAACTTTTTCAAATTATTATCTTAAAAATAATTTAAATATTTCAGAAACGGTTGAATTTAGGTATATGGTATGTTATATAGTGTTGTAAAAAAAACGTTTTTTTTCAGTTGAAAAAAAACACGTGAAAAAAAACATGTTTTTTTTCACTGAAAAAAAACAAAAGTTGTTTTTTTTCATTCTCACCCACGTATGGTAAAAGGGCGCCTCGCTGTCGGCAATGCTGACTTAGCATATCGTATAGTCTATACGGTATTATAATAGAAGAGTTAAGACCTGCGGCTTTATAGGTTGATGCATAGTTGGTAGAAATGCCGAAAAAAAAGGCTCAGGGCGAAAGCCAACAACGTTAAACAATTTGTTTAAGAATATTACTAATGGTAAGTAAGAAACTATAATTAGTATTTAATAATCTTCTAGTGACAGAATGTGCCAAAAATTCTTTCCTCAGCAGTGACATTTCGAAAATCCTGTCACTTAATATAATTTGAGTATTTTTGACCATTTCTTTGAAAAAAAACATTTTTTTTGAAAAAAAACAAGGACCTCTGTTTTTTTTCAAAAAAAAACATTTTTTTTTGAAAAAAAACAAGAGTGTTTTTTTTCAGTGACAACACTAATGTTATATGAAATATGCTCAGAATTTTACAAGGAATCGAAAAATAAATACATATATCCATTGAAAAAAAATAAACTTTTTGTTTTTTCCTGTATACTGATCAATTTTCGAATTTTCTTTATACGTAGAAAAAAATTATTTTTAGTACCTACATAACCACACTTTTTTGGGAAAAAAATATGGTTATGTGTGTGAAACTTATAATAATTTTACAAGAATTTTTTTTTTTAATTTTGAAAAATCGAAAAAAATAGTAATTATGGAAGGCCCACTACCGGACCAGGCTAAATAGTTGTTAAATAGATAGAAGTTGAAATTAAAAAATTTTCGCGAAAATCGAAGAAGACACATTTTTAAAAACACGATATAAACTTTAAAACTCAAAAATCTTGACTTAAAACGCTTCGAATATTTTCAATATATTTTTTTTCGAAAAGTACATTTAAATACGAAAATTTTATATAGAATGAACATTTTGATTTGGACCATTTTCTAAGAAGTTATGAGCGAAAAACAAAAAAAAGGAGTTTTTTTGAAAATTTGATCTTTTGAACCCGTGATCAAAAAAATCTCAAAATTTACTGAGAAAGCTCTTTCAAGGAGTACTAAAAAATATAAAAAAAATGGAGGAATCAAAAAAAAAAATTTTTGAATCCATCCAATGGAATGCCCCATATGTAATACATTTTTGATAAACCTCTTTTTTTCAAGGGGTGTCTCAACTTGCCGCGAACATACGCGAAAGTATACGAAGGCTCCCGAAATCTTGCTCCGGATCCCCATATCTTAGGATAGACAGTGTTGCCAGGTTTATAAAATGTTGCCATTTAGAGTTTTTATTTTAAATTTCAAAACTCTTTAGTTTTTTATGTACAAGGTGTTAAATTTTTACTTTTTGTTTACCCACAAAAATTATAAAAATGTGTTATTTAAATCTTTCAGCATTTTTAAATTTCATATTTGTGTTCCATTCGAATTTTCTGGGGAAAGAAAAAAATATATTGATTTGAAATTTTAACAGCGTTTATAACCCATTTAAGTCTATTTTTATAAAATATTTTAAACAAAATGCCACTTCCGGTTTAACCGGAAGTGACATTAACTTTGTTATTTCAAATAAAACACCCCATATATTCTTACAATTTTAAATTCTTTATAAAATTCTGAGTAAAATTACTGTACCATGTTCTATACTTAAAGTGAATAGTTTTCGAATTATTAATTTTTTTCGTTAAAATTTGACAAATGCACGTAAATCAAAAACTGCCAATAACTTTTTTGTTATTACGTTTGCGGAGATGGCGGTGGAATTTTTGGAATCTTAAAACATTGTTTAAAAGATTCCATGTCAATTCCATTTTTTAACAAATTACCTGAGAAAACGCAGGGCAAATTAGGCTAACTTGAAAGGGTAATAACTTTTTTATTTTAAATGTAACACCCTGTATGTTTTTGCATAATCTAATAGTAAATTAAAAAACCTTTCGATTGATGTTACTATTCCCTATACCTAAAGTTAATAATTTCAGAGATATTTAACAATTTCTAAAATTTTAAATATAATTTTGTATCAAGAAACCTGTGACAAGTGACTTGGCAATATCCATGGTTACCAAATAATCATATAAACAATTTGTTGACAAATGAAGTGTTTTGTAAACAATATTACTGTTAAAAAAGCAGTTATAAAAGTGTTCATTTAGAACAATCTAAAATTTGACTTCTTGATTATTTAGCATCGTTTTTTCTGATGGTCCTGACTCAATCCTGGCGACGTTGTCTGGTGTGCGGTGAATCCGGCAACAAGGCCTTCATTTGACAGCATCAAGGGATGCTGTGTGCCTGCATAGGGTGTGTTGATTGTGTTTTATTTTGTTTTCTGTTGAATATAATTGTTATAGGGACGTAATCGATGTTTTTTAGCTTGCAATTGGTATAAAATATAGTGTTCAAAACGTGATAAATGTCGGCTTCTGGAGAATATTTTTTTAAATTAAGTTTTTCTGCAAAATCGAGTTGGCCTAGTTTTTGTTTCGGGCAATTGTGTTGTTATTTTCGCTTAAAATGATAATATTTTGTGTGAATTATTTAAAACTTATATCGGTAATTTTTTGGTGCTTAAAAAAATCAATTATATAAAAATATCAATATCGTTATTAACTTTAATACTAAAAAAATGTGTAACAAAACCCTTAAAAATGGAAAAATTAAAGCAAATAAAATAACAATTAATAAAAGGTTTAACACAAGAACTAATATTAAATTATAGTTTTAAAAACCGTTCACCTTAAAAAAAAGAAGAAAAAATGTCCTGGGAATCGTTAAATTCACATGACTTCCCAAGATAGTAAGTGTTTTATGAAGTCATAATATTTTATTGCCTAAAATTCTTAAATTTTTCAATTCTATTAAAGAATTTAAAAATATATAGGATAAACAAACACCAAAATTGTAACTTTTAAATTTGCCATTTTCGGGGTATAGTTTACTCTGTATAATTTGGGTCAAACTTAACTAATTTAGCTATTCAAATAAGCATGTCTTTGGTATTCCATGGAGTACAATATTGTTAACAAGTCAGTTTGATTTAATCGTATGATTTGATTTAATTGTATATATACATACTATATATTATATATTTATATTATACTCTAATTTTAAAAAAAAGTTATATCGGACAGTTTGTTAACTTTTTTATTTTTAAAGTAATATATGGCTTCATGGTACTCAAACAAGCGTATTTTTACCCATTAAGCCAAATATAAAAGTAAAAATCACCCACACCAATCCCTAACCAAAACTCATATTTCTTCCATTTTGACAAATTTTTGAAGTAAAGTATAGCTTCATGGTACTCAAAGAAGCGGATTTTTACCCATTAAGCCAAATATAAAAGTAAAAATCATCCACACCGATCCCTAACAGAAACTCATATTTCTTCTATTTCGACAATTTTTTTAAGTAAAGTATAGCTTCATGGTACTCAAACAAGCGGATTTTTACCCATTAAGCCAAATATAAAGGTTAAAATCATCCATACCAATCCCTAACCAAAACTCATGTTTCTTCTATTTTGACAAATTTTTAAAGTAAAGTATGGCTTCATGGTACTCAAACAAGCGGATTTTTACCCATTAAGCCAAATATACTAGCAAAAATCATCTCAAGTGAAACTTAACCAAAACCCATTATTCTTCTATCTCCAAAAATTTGAAAGTAAAGTACAACTTCATGGTACTCAAACAAGCGGATTTTTACCCATCAAGCCAAATATCCTAGCAAAAATCACCTCAACTGAACTTCAACCCATGATTCTTCTAGTTTCCAAAAATTTGAAAGTAAATTACAACTTCATGGTACTCAAACAAGCGGATTTTTACCCATTAAGCCAAATATAAAGGTAAAAATCACCCACACCAATCCCTAATCGAAAATCATATTTCTTCTATTTTGACAAATTTTTGAAGTAAAGTATAGCTTCATGGTACTCAAACAAGCGGATTTTTACCCATTAAGCCAAATATACCAGCAAAAATCATGATTCTTCTAGTTTGAGAAATTTGAAAGTAAAGTACAACTTCATGGTACTCAAACCAGCGGATTTTTACCCATTAAGCCAAAAATAAAGGTAAAAATCACCCACACCAATCCCTAACCAAAACTCATATTTCTTCTATTTCGACAAATTTTTAAAGTAAAGTATAGCTTCATGGTACTCAAACCAGCGGATTTTGACCCATTAACCCAAATATAACCTCAAAAATGACGACAACAAAACCCTAACCAAAACACTACTTCTTCTAGTTCCACGAACAATTTTTCTATGGGCGTAAGCCACCAGCTATCAGCAACTAGACTACTTGATTCGCCCGATGGATCAAGGCAACCTATAGACGGTTTAGAAGCTGTTTGGCCCTGGAATGACTCGTATTCCAGCCTACAGAGGGACACATACACGGAGGTTCGAACCCCGCGACCACCTAGGTTCAACTGGGACTGCTTTAGAGCTTGTAGAGCGAGGATATATCACAGCATAGCCAAACGAAAAGTAATTTAACTTTAAAAAAATTGTAAACGGCAAGGTTGTAAACTATTGTTGTTTTTTAAGGTTGACCAAGGGTTAAGATTGTATAACCAGCATAAACAACAAGCAGCTGTCAGAAAATGGCGTTCAGCTTTGAAAGCACTAAGAAAAAGAGATGACAAATTTAATCTACTTGGTTATTTATATCAAGCTTATATGGATTGGGGAAAATACAGGTAAAATTTTTAAAAAACAAAGAGTTACCACTTCTACGAAACTTTTTTATTTGTCGTTTAATATATATGTTGTTTGTACTCAAACTTCTCAACTTTTACCCCTCTTTTTGGATATCCACTAAAACTTTACATATCTACTTTTATAACTCTAATAAAATAAACCTGCATTTATTTTCAGAGACGCTCTTGAGTATGCTCATCGTATGTTGTATATTTCCGAAGAATTGGATAATCCAACCATGAGAGCTGAATCCTATTTAAATTTAGCCCGAGCACATCAAAGACTGGGAGGTTTGGAAAGGTAGGTACATTTATATTAATAATTTATTAAAATAATTTAATTAAGATGTTACGTATTTTTAACAGCTGTTCACTATCAAATAAATCAAAGTGTTAGTCTGAATTATTAGGTACATAAATTTGTTGGTTAAGCTTTGTAAAACCACAAAATGTTTTGTGTACAGATGCGGCCAAAAGTAATGTTTATTTTTCATTTTTTAGAGCGTTAGCCTATGCTAGACACAGCCTGTATAACGAATGCGAACAGTGCACAACAGCTGGACATGTTCATCTGACAGTCGGTTCCGTTTACTTAGAATTAGCAGGATTTAATAAAGCGCTGGACAGTTTTCAACACGCGCACAGAATCGCACAGGCGGTGCATGATCCGGCCCTGGAGCTACAGGTCGGTTTTTTAATAACTTTTTTGGTTGTGAAGCAAAGTATGGCTTGTTGGTACTCAAACTTAATGATTTTTTGCCCTGAATACAAAAATACAACCACAATTAATCTATATTTATTCATAACCAAGATAGTATTACAACAACAAAACTTATTTGTTTTTAGAGTAAAGTATATCTTGTTGGTACTCAAACTTCTCAACTTTTACCCAATAAACACAATTCAATCACAAATTTGACATATCTCCCCGCCTAACAAAACTACTACATTTACAGGTATATGTAGGTCTCTCAGAACTATTTAGCAGGCTTCAAGATGCGGATAAAAGTGCGCGGTATGCTTCCAAGGCGTACGATTTATCCAGATCACTGCAATTGGGGGACTTGAACTCCAGACACCACCGGTATATACATACATAATAAAAAATAACTGTGTTGTATGACAAAACTTTTTTTATTTGTAGGGCGGCTTTACTACAAATGGCATCGGCACTAAGAAAACAGGGGGAGTTAGGAGATGCGCATGATTATTGCTCAGTAAGTAAAATAAAATGTTTTGAAAAAAAAAATTATATTTTTTTTCTAGGAAGCCACCAGGTTAGCTTTGGTTTCTGGTGATCAGGCTACGTACGCGAGGAGTATTAGAATTATGGGAGATATTTACAGAAAAAAGTCTGATATTAATGTAAGTTTTTTGTTATTAATCCTAGATATGCCTTCATGGTACTCTAACATCATCATTTTTAATTATCTTACAGAATATTTCAAAAAAAAATATTTTTTGTTATCATGTAAGCGAGATACGTTATTGTTTTGTTTTCTTTATTAAAATTTTTAATATTCATCAGTATATTTAAACCAAGGTCTCTATTGGCTACATGGATACCAAATTTTATCAAAAAATATCCATTAATAAGAGACCTGTCAAACAGAGAAATGTCAATTTTGACAGTTAATAAAAATGACATGTGGGTACTTAAACTTCACGATTTTTTACCCTCTTCAACAAAATAATAACTAAATGTATTAATCTCTTTTCATAACAGAAAGCTTTTCGTCAATATGAGACAGCCATGGGTTCTGCTGCCGCAATGGGCGACAGAGTAATCCAAATGGAGTCCATGGATGGTGCCGCGAGATGTTTGGAAGCTTTAAGATTACAGCACAAAATTTGCAATTGTAGACCTTTAGAATTCAATACGAGGCTTCTGGAGGTTGCTGGGTCAGTTGGGGCCAAAGTAAGTGAATTTTTATAATATGAATTTATTGAGGGCATAATTTGCTACGTGTATACCAAATTTCATCAAAAAATCTCCATAGATAAGAGACCTGTCAAATTGTTTTATTCACTTTGACAGGTATAAAAAATATGATGTGGGTACTCAAAGTTAACAATTTTTTGAGCTCTATTATAAATCAATAATGTTTTGTAGTTATTGGTAAGGACGGTGAGAATAAGGCTGTCAAAAATATACCAGGCTTTGGGAGATGAAGACCAGAAAAATCACCATGAAAGAGTGGCTTTGAGAGTTCAACACGATTTAGATTTGAACTGTGGATGCTGTGGATCACCTTATGGTCTTGAAAGTGACTCTTTAGAAGCCTTACCCTGTGCCCATATTTTACATGCCAAGTAATACAAAAAATTACCATGTCTATAACTACTTTAAATAATAATGTTTTAGGTGTGCATACGACTTATTCAAACGCAGTAAAAAGAAAAAAAGAAGCTGTCCGGAATGTGACAGAACGAGTTCTCGTCTGTATTTAAATTGTACCGACTATAACACAAACTTTAGTCCAGTACCACTGTCTGTATGTTCATCGGACAGCCATTGTACGTCGCATCACGCTACGAGCTCTGTATAAAAAAAATGCTAAATATCGCTAAATGAAGATAAGTGTGTTTTTATCCTGGATATGGGTTGTGGGTACTCAAAAAATGCAACTTTTGGATGTAAACAAGATTCTGAAGTTAATTTTTTAAAATTTTGCAACCAGACGAAAATACGATTTTACACAAATACCATCATAAAATCCTCTAAAGTCATTACGGATTTTAAGTAAGGGCCTAATTTACTATAACTTTACCAAATTTTATTAAAAAATCTCAATAAACAAAAGACCTGTCAAAATTTTGACAGCTATCAAAAATACGATGTGGGTACTCAAACTTCACTATTTTTTGCCCTCTATAATAAACAGCAATTAAAAACACATTTAACCTTAAATTGTTTAAGTTAAGGGTCTAAATGCCACGCTTAAGTGGGACCAGCATGCTCAAAACTAACTCACACAAAAGATGCAAATCTGACTAAATTACGTTTATTAATTATCTAATGAAAAAATATGAATTACATAAATAAATTTTGTAGTTTTAGTGATAAAAAATACTTATTAGGACACTTTAATTGTGACAATGATGATATAAATAAACCAACACCGCTTGATTTACTATTATTATACAGGGGTATTACTTTCTTATTTCCGCTCTCCCTGTATATTTAACACGACTCTTCCAAAGAAATTCTTCCACTTTGTAAAAAATAGTATAGAACAATCATATTGTCAGATACAGGGTGTTCAAATAAAAAAAACGAAACACGATAAGTTGACACCCTGTATATCATTTTAAGTTATCTATTTTCTAGTCATATAGGCATAATGGTTAGTATAGGGTTGTTACATTTTTGGAATTTATTTATTGTATGTACAGAGTGTATATTTTAAAACGTATTTTGTTTTTTTTTTAATAGTCAAAACAAGTTTTTTTTAATATTCAAGTCAAGTTTTGTTTTATCAACGATGCGAACTATATATATAAAAAAACGTAGTTTTAAAATGAACACTCTGTATTGGTGTTATTTAAAAGTAATGGATTTATATGCTACTTAAAATTAGAAAATGTAAATTTAATAAAACAAAAATGATTTGCACCAAGTTTTTAAAAAGTCGCACCATGGTACTAGATTTTTGGGTTTTTAAAAATTTTGTAAAAACTCAAAAATCCTTAAAATTAAATTATAGATAGGTATATAAATTTAAATCATTTTAAAACAATCAATTATAAGTATTTAATAAAAAAATATATCTAAGATTAAAACAAATTTAAAAATATGTTGTTGTAAATATTAAAAATAATTAATAAAATTATTAAATTTCTTTATTATCAATATTATTAATAAAATTTGTTTATATTACACAATTGTTTTTTTTTTCAGCGAATATTAATTTTCATTATAAAAAATACATATACCTAATATATAAAAGTTTATTTACACAAAAAAAGCATTTCATAATATAAAAAAATATCACATTTATACCTCAGTTAACTTGGACTTATTGTAAGTACATATATGTATAAAAGTCACTCAAACGTTGTTAAATCCTTTTTTAAATTTTCCAAAAACATAATTCTATTAACTAAATTGGTTTTAGAACATTGTTTTAAATATTTAATTGCATACTCTACACATTGTTCTGCAAATTCTACATCAATTTGATTGCAGGAATCCCCTTCTTTAATTTTTAAACTTTCTTCCGAAACTATTACTTCCATATCATTACAAAGATCTGTTGACTCTTCCTTAATGAGCTTTATTGGTTGTGGAAAATCTTCATCTGAATTATTTGCACCCATTATATTAAAAGTAGCTAAAAGGCAAAGTTAACTTAAAGGTAAATTAATATAAATTAAATTTTATTGCCTCCAATTATGAAATTTGCTACTTTTGGCAATACTGAGGTGTATTACCAACACAATCCAACTTATAAACTTTTAATTTTAAGTGTTTAATTCAAATAAACTTTTACCTGGGTTGGCAGGAAGATGTAACATAGGAATGGTACCATTCTTCAAATACATATTTGTTGCCCTGTCTTCCTCTCTAAAATGTCTGTGGCACACTCTACGAGATCTATAAACCAACTCAGGGTTTAATGAATGAAATGATAGTCTTCCGGAGAGATCAATCCATTTTTTAAACAAATCCTCTGATTTCTTTGGATTCGGAAAACGATGTCGATGGGAATCCTTATCATCACATCCTATTACAGCACATTTTTTTCCCATGATGATTAATAAAAATCTGTAATTGTATTTATATATTTAACACCACATAATCAACAAGAATTAAATACACAAGCATATACTGTTAACTGATTTAAATAATATACCCACAATCCATGTTGTGTGGATTGTGAATATACCCAACATTAGTAATGTTGTTACATTACTCACAAATTACCTTATACAATTTTACATACATAAGCCCAAGATTCAATAAAAAGAACATTCAGCCCAAGATTCTATAAAAAAACTTACCTTAATGGTTTCAGCAATTGTCACAAAAAACACTTTTTCACTTATAAGATCAAACAAAAGTTCAGTAAGGAGACAAAATATAAAAACACACGTAAACACAGCTCAAAGCAAAATGCAGGTTATAAAATGGCGTCAGAGATAAAGAAGTTTGGCTTCTTACCGTCAGAGATAAAGAAGGTTGCCGGCAAAATTTTATAACATGTGGCGCCATCTAGTGAAATGTACCGACAAAAATTTAAGATATAATTTCCCCCGTTAAAGTGAATAGACCCTGCACATGTGGACAGTTCACAGAGTTGGCATCACTGTGTCGCACAGTGCTGTAAAACCGCAAAAATATCGCACTAATGTTTATCATATTTAACAATTTTCTGTTTATCTATTTAAAATAAAGCACGCAATGTGTTAAAATGCAAATACATTTAACATAATATGCTACAGAATATTCAGTAATTTAAGTGGGATTATTTCTGTTTTATTTTTCTTAAGGTTCATGCACTGTGCAGAGATCGTGTGATATGTCAAATTCCACAAAATTTTAACTAAATAGTTTTACGGTAAATAGTATTCAAAGAGCTATAAAATGAGTGATAAAAAGGATGAAAAGGTGGAAAATGTCGATAAGGAATTATCAGATCTCTTGGACAGTAAGTTGTGAACAATTTAAGGAGTCTTACATAACCTAACATTTTTATTACTATATTTATGTAATAATTACGGAAATTTGGCAATTTTCGGGGTATTAATAGAAATAATGGAAGATTAAAATAGAATAATGGGGATTGTTCGTTAATACTAAAATATTTGTGTATATAAAACTGAACAAGTATTTTAAGTAAAACCAAATTGGTCATTTTTTATCGTCCAACAATGTTTGAAGAACTGCCCAAACTTTTGAGACGTTTAAATTATTTTTTTTCATGTTATAAGTAAAATAGTGGCAAATTATATAAATTTTAACACATAACCTCATTTTTTGAAGTGGACATTGGACATGTTTATGACTAAGCTTAAAAACAGTATTGGATATCTCAATTTAGTTATTTTTAAACAAACAAAAATCACATTTAACCCAAAAAATTTACTTTTAGGTGCTTTAGAGGACTTCACAACAACTAAGGACGAACCAAAAAAGGACAGTAAAGAAATTGGAACCACAAGCAATACCGAAAATAATGTTCCTGAACAATGGACTGAAGATTTTATCCAACAAGCTGCTAGTCAATTTGAAGCAAATTTTTCGAACTTATTGGCTGGGGGCGATCCAAATGCTCAAGTAACGCCTGAGTTTATACAGCAAAAATTGCAACAGATGGCAGGTAAATTGAATAAATTGTAAAAAAAATCCTATTAAATCTTTCTATATTTATTCTATTTTCTATGATTTCCATGAACGTTTTAGGATTGGATTAACTTTGGTAGGCTATGTAAAACAGTGTCTTTGTTTTTTGTTTTAAATAAATAATTTTTTAGTAAAAATATATTTACTCAAAACAAAAAACAAAGACAAACATTTTTTAAAAGCTTTTTACTGTCATAGTGACAGCTGCTGTCTGACCCCACTTTTTGATAACATAACCTTGAATTTGTATCTGTCTAAGTGACATTTTTTTTCAATCTCATATGCACTTTTAAAGAACATAACCTAAATTTGATAGTTTGATGAGCAGAATAACGTTATTCAGAATTCAATAATGATAATTATTATACTTCATCAGAAATGTATAGATTAAGACATACTAACCAAAAAATTTAAATAAATAGTCTGCAACTGTCACAGTTAACCATAACCACACTTTTTGACAACATAACCTTACTTTTGTTATCTGGACAAGTGAGATATATTGTCTAACCTCACTTTAAAAGAAAATAACCTAAATTTAATAATGAACTGATAAATTAGCACAAGTAAAGATAATTATAGTTTAAGTTCATGCATAATTATGCACGAGGGGAGCGAGTTTTTAATAAATGAGAGACAAACACAGAATAATGTTTTTTGACATTTTTTCTGACAGCTGTAGAGCGGTTTTAACCTCACTTTTTCCCAATATGACTTATGTCAAACGGTTTTAACCTCACTTTTTCCCAGTTTATAAAAAATGGGGTAATTGTTAAGGTGGCAACAATGTTTGCTGTCAAAATTTCAGATTATCCTGTCCACAAGTTTTGATTTTACAAGCTTTTTGTTCGCGTTAAATAAAAAAAAATATCCAAATATGGAGTTTCAGCTTTTTTTACATAAATTGACCATACGCTAAAGAAGTATCGCTAGTAGCGCCACCACTCGGCTGTTATCATCGTAACAAAAGTACAACTTTTGATAGTCAGCTGTCAAACGCGTGTGTTACAAACGAGTGTTTTTGAGAATAAAGCTGGAAAATGTTAAAAAATATCGGAAAAAAACCGTGGCTCGATTTGTTGTGTTGTTGGGTGTATTTCGAGAGGAAATTCTGGGTTGAGTTTTTACCGGTTTTCCAATAAACAGTGTTAATATCTGAATGAAGAAATAAATTGCATATAGTCTCTGTAAATATAAATTGTACCTATTAGATACATTAAATACACATTTTAGTAGTGATTAACGTGAAAAGTGTAAACATTTCAATTCAGTAAAAATCGTCAAACAAATAAGTCGTCTAAATTTAAACAGCATTTAGCATTATTAAATGCGTTGATTAAGAAAGTCTTCACTCAACGGTAAAATACTGTGTAATATTGTGTATTATATATAATATTATGTTGCCATGAATTCGTAGGTATATTTTGTTGTTTAAAATGCACTTGTCGGCGTTTTTTAGAAAACTCAAATATAAAAATGGTTGATTTTAAGGTTATGTTTGTGCAAAAATTATTTTTTACCAATTTCTTAAAAATGTCCAAACTTAAATATAAATTATATTAGGTAAAGTTATCATTAGTTAATTCTACTTACCGAATTGGATCCTTTGGCAAAACATGAAAATGCAACGATTTAGTTCTTGAATTTTATTTACAATTAAAAACACAATAATTCACCATGATCCCTTAGATAAAATACACACACTAACGTAACTATATAAGCATTTAGGCGTTGAGTTTCTTAATCAATGATATAAGGAATAATCAATCGAAATCGAGTACTAAAAAGTTTTTTAATTTTTTCCTTGCAACGTAAAACACAAATAAAGTGCGCGATTTAGCTGTGCAATTGAACAAAATTTGTCGAGTAAGACTTCTGCCTTCCTCTCATTTATTCCTATTTATTTAAAAATAATTCGAAATAATACAATTTGGCACCAAAAAATGTTCTATATAAATAAATACACATTTCATTACTTCAAAACCCCATGTTTTGTTTATTTTATTGTGTCAATTTTAGAAGCCGCACAGCAAGTTCTTGAGAATCCCGCACAAGTAAATGAAACTACAACTGATTTTGGACAGTCAATTTCACAAGCCATTCAAGGTTTAAATCAGGGGGCTGAAGGTCTCCAAAATCCATTTTCCGAGGATGATTTAATGAAAATTTTTGGAAATCCTGAAGGTGGAACAAACGATTTATTACCTTTCATGCAAGGTATGTATTATATATATTATTATATTTTTTGTATTTTAGTTATGAAGTAAAGTTTATTTTTTTTATCTGGACTGCGGCAACGTTGCAAATTTAGGGGTTTGGTTGGTAAATTCGGAACCAAAATTGGTTGCAATGATTAAAACAAACTAAACTCACAATCCACACAAAAAATCACTGCAACACTGCACAGTTTAACGACGGCCATTTTTGTTGTTTACAATTTGTGTGCTTTGTTTATACAGATTAATAATCGTTTTAAACGTTGTGTTTCTCATAGTAAGCCTTAAAAGAGCCCTTAAAGTGCTAAGAACAACCATTTTACTCCTCTATTGTAAAAAATAAACTTTATTCTATCAGGGCTGTCATAAAACTGTCAAATGTCAATTTGAAGGTTAAATTATAACCCACAAATTAACCTTCAAATTGTCATTTGACAGCCCTTATAGAATAAGGTATATTTATTATAAAAGAGGAGTAAAATGGTTGTCCTTAGCACTTAAAGGCCTTATTTGAGGCTTACAAGTGCCTCTGTAAGAAACACAACGTTTAAAACAATTATTAAACAGCACAAACCCAAAGCACAAGAATTTTAAACCACAAAAATGGCCGCCGTTAAACTCTGTGCAGTGTTGCAGTGATTTTTAGTATTTTTAGCATGAGATAGAACAGACCTTGTTGTGTGGATTGTGAACTCTACAAACAATGATTAATTGCAAAGAAACTTGGCAACCACGCGCAGTTCAAAACATTGATTTAGCTAATTTAAGGTATGATGCAAGGGTTGTTGAGTAAGGAAGTTTTGGGGCCCAGCCTAAAAGATTTCGTTGCCAGGTTGCCAGAATATTTGGAAAAAAACAAGGACACAATTTCCGCGGAAGATAAAGAGAGATATTTGAACCAAAAAAAATTGATGGAAGAAGTTTTGCAGGAGTTGGACAAAGAGGAAGAGTCTCAAAATGCTGAGGAGAAAAAGGAAACATTCAGCAAAGTTTTAGCTTTAATGCAAAAAGTAAGTATTATGCATTCAGACTGGCAATTTTTCAAAACTTTTTTTTTTGTAAAGTATATCGAAAATATTGTTTGGTGTGACAAAAAAAAATTACAATGAAAGTTTGAGTCCATAATATTAATATTAAGAGGTCTATCATTGCAATTTCAGATTTTTTTCCCTGAGCGAGTTTTTGTCTCAGAACTCCCATTGAGTTTAACAAAATTGACTTAAGAATATTTTTTGAAGAAAATTGAATGTTCTACAAAAAAGGTTTGATTGGAATTTCCCGTCAGATGAACCGTTTTCTTACAATCATGCCTTAATAATTGGTATAGATTTACAATTTGATCTTTTAACTTTGGAATTTTGTAATTCATGTAAAAATCAGTACCCGAAAAAAAAAACCGATAGATATTCTTATGGGAAATCAAATGCTCTACAAAAAAAGTCTCCTAACATTTTTGGCTAAATTCACTCCATTAAAAGTTCTTCAAGGTTAAATTTGAAGTCAAATGAAATTCTTGTTTTGTCCACTCTAGATTTTTTTTTGGGTCAGTTAAAAACTTGAATTCTTTTATCGATGATAATCTTTATGTTATTGATAAAATTACTGAAAATTAAAATTAAAAAAAAAAAAAAAACAGTTTTTTCGCTTTAAGAAACTATTTTCTTTAGAAAATTTTATTTTCACTTATTTAATTGTTTAAATAATAACAATCATGTTGTTTTTTTATTGGAAATTGTTAATTATACAGGGTTTTATGTAATTAATGTTATATATTAAAATGGGTTGTTCCTTAGGGTCCATAAAGAAGCACCTGAAACTTTTTTTTTCTAAATTCCAAAGTCTAAAAATAATTTATAATACCCTTTATCCTACCAAAAAGTACGCCACTGATCGACTAGGAACTTTAGGTTAATCTGGTGGATTTATTATGTTATGGTTGGTAACAACAGTGTTCTCTCAAAAAAGTTGACAAACATTGTTTAAATTTAGCTTAATTACAAAAATGACAAAATTAACAATGCAAATTGTCAATTTGGCGTTTTTATTAATTGTTGGTTATTTCATTTTTGTACTGAAGGTAAATTCAAACAAAATCTGCCAACTTTTATGACAGAATCTAGTGCATTTCTTTTAAATTTTAGGTTATTTTTTCAAATTGTAAATATCTTAAAAGGGAAGTGCTTTTGTATTTATTTACACAAATTAAATGTTTAAAGTTTAACCTGTGAACTGGTCCCAATTTCATCTGAGTAAACAGAGAAAAAAACTGATGAAAAAATTAATTTTGTGGTTATGGATTTCAAATTTCAAAGGTACTAAATTTTCTAATCATTGCTTAAGCTAATAGCTGGATCAGTAAATAAATACAGAAGGGTATTAGAGCTTAAAGGGCATAAAACTTTTGTATTTATTGAGTTTTTATTTATTTTTTGCAAGAAAAATTTTTAGTAACAATTTTTTACATCTGGCAACGCATAGCTACTTTGTTGGTTGGTATCTATGTACTCACAAAATACAGGTGTGCAGAGATAAACAAGTGTGTAACCAGTGGCGTATCACAAAAAATATAAAAAACTTCTAATGCATATTTTTTCTTTATCTTTGGAAAAATGTTTTTTTAAATATTTTTCCTTTATTCCTTATGTCAAAAGGTATTCAGTATTTTAATATATAACATTAATTACATAACACCCTGTATAATACACATTTATAAAGAAAAAAATCAAATTATCACCCATAAAAAAATAAATCTACAGAATTTCGTTTTGACTTCAACTTTCAACCTTAAATAACTTTTGATTGAGTGAATTTAGCCAAAAATGTTAAGAGGCTTTTTTGTAAAGCATTTGATTTGCCATAAGAATATTCTTGGGCTTTTTCTGGGTACTGATTTTTACATGAATTACAAAATTCCAAAGTTAAAAGATCAAAATGTAAAACTATACCAATTTTTAAGGCATGATTTTAAGGAAACGGTTCATCTGACGGAAAATTTCATTTTAACCTTTTTTGTAGAGCATTTAATTTTCTTAAAAAAATATTTCCGAGTCAATTTTGTTAAACTCGATAGTTAGGGAGTTCTGGGACAAAAACTTGCTGAGAATTTTTTTTTAAAATTGCGATGATAGACCTCTTAATATTAATATTATGGACTCAAACTTTTACAATATTTTTTTTTGTCACCCCAAACCATATTTTCGATATACTTTAAAAAAAAAATAGTTGATTTTTTGGCCCAGTCTAATGAATATTACGTTTTTTTAGTTACAAGACTATGGACAACCCCCTTCGGAACTGGTTGGTGATGTGGAGACCCCATTTAACTTTGACCCTTCAGGGAACCCCACTGCGCCTCCACAGGACTGCTGTATAATGTAGACGTTAAAATAAAAATAGAAATCCCCCAAAAACACCAAAAAAAGTCGAATTTTTATTACTTCGTAAAAATTACGTTGAAATGACTTAAAAATTACTATGAAGTCGTTTTGACGTTAAATGTTAGGATTTTAGGTGTTAAGTTGGAAAAGTAAAGTTGTTAAGGGTTTTTTAAATTATTATTATTTGTTATATTTTAAAAAACGGTGAAAACTGCGTGTATATATATTTATTTTATATTAAAACTGTATACACAAACAAAACGTGTCTTATTTTTATATTACTTTACATAAAAAAATTATAAAATGGAAGTTTGAATTGAAAAAAACAAGCACTCCTTAAAATTTGACAAAATCGATACATTCTGACGTCACGATGTAAAAAGGTTTGTTCCAACCGAGCATTTGAACTGTCAAATGGACGTCAGGATCGTGCGAAATGCTCCGTGGGAACAAGCCCTTAAAAGAAGATTTATGAATAAAGTTTATGCAAAAATACATAATTTTGAACACAACCAAATTCTTTGACAGTTCTAAAGCCATTTAATGATTTAAAGCGTATTTTAGTATAAAGTTCATGCAATTATTTTTAAAATGTACACTTCTAGCGTGATTCAAAAAATCTATCATTCTTTTTTTTGGCTCATGTTATCAAAAAGTTATTGAAATTTTTTATTTTTGCATGAGTCTGATGAAAACATTGTGTCCAATTACTGGTTGGTAAAAAATGTAAATTTTTATTATTGGACATATGTCCAATATTCTCTATTTATATCCCGGACATTTACCAGCCAATTCTTATGTAAAATTGTCCCCTGAATCCGAAAAGACCGTCAAAAACTATAAAAGTTAAGCAGTTTTTGAGATATAGTCAATTCCATATTATATGTAAAATTGATTATATTTCAAAAACTGTTCTACTTGACGACATTTTCGGATTCAGCGAATAATATTTCATAGGAATTGACTGCTAAATGTCCTAGATACAAATTGCTGTTTACAAGAATTATTAGTGGCTGCTTTTTCGCTATGACATTTTTGACTAATTCATTTTTAGAGAGTAAAGGCGGGTTTATACAACAATTGATAATTTAGTGGACAATTTATTTTATAACTCAATTGTTAATTTAATGCATAATTTAATACTTAATCTGGTTTAAACAATTCATTAATTTAATATAAATTTAATTTTTTCAAATGACAATATTGATAATTAAAAGTGACAAATAACACAAAATCCCTCATTAAAACTCATGTTTTGTAGGAACTGTAGTACCTATTTTTTAAGGCACAAATACAAAACACAATAATTATTAATTATAACCTCAAAAAATGGAGAGAGAAAAATTGTTGTCACAGCGCTGTTCAATCTTATTTATAATTCATAATTTCATCTTAAAAAATAAGTAAGCGTCAGCCTTTTACACCAAAAATGAAAATACGGTATTCACACGGGTTGGCTAGGTAGGTACGAATAAAAAAATGAAACAACACATAAATTTACAGAAAAGTATATTGTATACTTTAAATAAAATTATTTTACCTAATTAATCACATTTACCTAAAATTTTACTAAAAAACCTCATTGTTAGAAAACCTTTATGAGATTATAATTATCACAATAAAATATAATTTATTTATTTTATGAAAAAAAAAATTAGCTAAAATCTTTAGAAATTGCATGATACAAGGAAGAATAAATAAGTAAGTATGGAAAGAAAAAAAATAAAGGCATTAAAACTGTATCAAACAATATCACACTAAATTTCTTAAATATTATCTACTTAGATTTGTTACGTATATGTGTTTAAGCTCCGTTTTGGGGGCATTTTCGAACAGTGCGGCCCTGTTTTGACCTTCACCTTTCTTCACCCAATGCCCATAAACCCTAAAGGCACAACCGTCGACAATCTGCAAGAAAAAATTGTTAATATTCATAAATATGGGTTGTGGGTACTCAAAAAAAGCAACTTTTTCTGATTTAAATGAATATGTTGACAGTTTTGATGTACGTTTGACAGGTTTGAAAATACGATTTAATTCAAAAACTATTACGAAATCGTTAAATATTATTATATTTTATTGTTACCAACGCTGTATAGAATATGTAAATCAAATTTCATTAAAAAATATTAATTAATAAGGGACCTGTCAAAATATTGTTAAATGTCATTTTAGAAGCCGAAATATTAAAAAATCTTTAAATTTTATTGCGTATTATTATAAAATGCACAAATTACGACCCACACACTAAATTTCACGCAAAAATGTCAAAAAACAAACAACCTGTCAAACACATACAAAAAACGATGTGGGTACTCAAACTTCTCAACTTTTCGTCTATATTAACGATCCGCAATCGAAATGCCTTTATCTCTTATGCAATTAGAGATACTCACTTTTATTGGTAATTTAAATTTGGTAATATTTATGGTAGATATGGGTTGTGGGTACTCAAAAAATGCAACTGTTTCTGATTTAAATGAATATGTTGACAGTTTTGGTGTACGTTTGACAGGATTGAAAATACGATTTAATTAGAAAACTATTACGAAATCGATAAATATTATTATATATTATTGTTACTAAAGCGGTATCGAATATGTAAATTAAGTTTCAATAAAAAATATTGATTAATAAGAGACCTGTCAAAATATTTTTAAATGTCATTTTAAAAGCCGAAATATTAAAAAATCTTTAAATTTTATTGCGTATTATTATAAAATACACAAATAACGACCCGCACACTAAATTTCACGCAAAAATGTCAAAAAACAAACAACCTGTCAAACACATACAAAAAACGATGTGGGTACTCAAACTTCTCAACTTTTCGTCTATATTAACGATCCGCAATCGAAAGGCCATTATCTATTGTGCGATTCGAGATACTTACTTTTCTTAGTAATTTTAGTCTGTAGGGGTCGGTTCTGGCAGTTTCGAGGGACAGTGGCTCGGGTGTGAACCTTAGACGTTGTATCCTGACCATACAGCGGACCACTAGAATAGCCCATTGAAATTTGGTGCGCGCGTTGAACTTTCGTTGATGCAGTTTCTGGAAATATTTTTTTGCTCAAATGTATTGTACGATTCTAGCGTGTGTTTTAATGTTGTTAATATGTTAAAAAGAAACACCAAACATTTATAGATTATTGGACTTTTTAGTTGACGTGTACGGTAAAACAATCAACAAAAATAGTTTTAAAACGAATTTTTACCAAGGCTAACTCTGTGATAACACTGTATCTTCTTGAATTTCTTCTTAACGATTTTTTTAATTCGCCTATATCGGTATCCCAAAGTTGCTAAATATATTTAAAAAATATTATTTACAGTATCCCACACAAAAAAAACACTGGTCTGCTATAAAAAAATCTTACAAATTCTTATGCATTTAAAAAGACGTCGTAAGTAGGATGTTCTTTTGAATTTTGCAGACCAGTGTTGTTTGTACCTTTATTGTAATTAATTTTATAAAAATAATAAATAATATGTAGCAAAATGTGTACTCACCACTTTTTGGAAAAATTCATGTTCTAAAGCTTCCCTTATACTAATTCTTTGTTTAGGATCTACAACTAATAATCTTCTTATTAAATCTTTGGGAGGTTCTAAAAATATAAAAAAAATCATTAGAATAGCCAAAAATTTGGATTTTTTAATAGTTAGTTCTTACCTGATATGTCAGCCCACTCTGGTGATGTAAAAGAGTATTTTCCTTCCATGATATTTCTAAGCATAACCATTTGTTTTCTATGCCAAAATGGCGGACAACCAACTAATCTAAATAATTTTTTGTTAAAAAATTTTTTTTGTATATTTTAATACTTACAATGTATACATTATAACACCACAGGCCCAACTATAAGAAAAAAATATATATTATTTTTTGTTAAATACAGGGTGTTATGTAATTGGGTCGTTTTCAAAAAACACCCGCCTTCCGCTGTCCGTAAGTTTGAATTCCAATAACTTTGTTAAAAATTATCGGATCTTATTGATTTAAAAACCAAGTGAAAGCCTAACAAGCCCTTAGAAAACTTTTTCAGAAAATGTTTGTTTAGTTATTTCAGAATATTTTTTTTTTAATTTGAAATTTGTGAAACACACATTTTCGCATGCCCCATTAGCGTTTTATAAAACTTACATACATGTTTTTTTTTTAATATTAACCAGAACTTTGTGTTGCTTTATAGCAATCCATAACATCCTTAGTTAATACAGTAAACAATTTATATATAAATAAATTAATTTTAATCTACTTTTTTTAAATTTGACTCATGTCCCAGACATTTTTTCCGTTGCGTTACGTCCGTCGCGTTACCGATAGAATATTAAAAAACATATATATGGCAAATTTTTTGGTACTCACGTGATCAACAAATGATGTTCCGACGTACACATTACCCAGCTGAATTTATTTATTCAATCAGGAAGAAGATATCGGTTGAAACAGGTGCGGGTAACGCGAATGTAATAATTGTTTGTCCGCTAAGTTACTCAAAAAAATAATAAAAATAAGGTAAGAAAAAAATACTATTTTTCATGTTTATGTTTATTTTAGGGCACTAAAGCTCATTGAGAGTAATTAATGACTGTAATGTTTTATTATTATTTTTTAAATATGGTTTTACAAAACTTTGTCCACTGCGTTACCGAGTCCATTACGTTACCTTATGGCAATGGAATTTGGGGTAACGCAATAGAATTTTTCGACAACAAAGTGGATATTTACCGTCGCTTTAATGAAAAGTAGTTTATGATAAACCAATTTAAAATTATTTTTGATTACAACTCATGATATAGATTACATCCAAGGGAAAATTCCACGCAATATACATGTACTAAAAGACACCAGCTTATAGTCAAAGAAAAAGGGTGTCTATAATTTAGAAATTTAAGTTGTTATTCTGCAAGTGAGCACCACTACAAGGGATTTTGTTTATGCATTACCGTTGTGATATCAATGTCTATTTCGTTACTTTTTTTAGTTTTTGTTAAAAAAAATCCTTAAAATGATTTTACTATCACTTGGTAATAACTGTTTATAAATTAAAGTTTAACTCACTAATACAGTGACTAAAAGAAAATATTAATGGTATAGTTTTTTAACAAAGAATCGGAATGGTGTCTTTTAAAAAGTAACTTAACTAACATAAATATTTTAAAAAGGCATACAATTTTTAATAAAAAATAAAATTGGAGTCAAAAGTTTGTGAACCAACCTACATTTTATTTCAAATTATTTTTATAACATCTTTTTTTATTGAATTAAATTTTGGATTTCAAATTGGTAACACAGTGGAGACATATAAAGCTAGCTAAACACATTTTTCTGAAAAAAACGTAAAAAAATTAAAAAGTGCACCGCCTGTCTTAAATGTAAGTAAACTAAACTCTAAACATTTATAAAAATCCAACCAAAAGTCAATTTAAGCAAAAAAAATTTTTGATCTTCATTTTCCTGAAAGCGGGTGTTTCTTGAAAATGACCCAATTAATGTAATATATTAAAATACTGAATACCTTTTGACATAAGGTGCAACGGAAAAATATTTAAGAAAATATTTTCCCAAAGATAAAGAAAAAATACTTACATGTCCACTTCATTTCCATAACCTGGAGCATTCTCCATCATATTGCACCTTAAAGTTTCCGGTGCCAAATATCCAGGGGTACCACACAAATCTATAAAAATCCTCAAAATTAAAATTAATGGAAAAACAAGGCAATCTTTTAAAATAGTAAACTACGTATACAGGTATTTACCTATACTTAAGTACCTAATTAGTAATTCGTATTACATACTAAGTAAAAAACACAATCCAAAATATTTTTTTATAGTTATTTGTCAAATTAAAACAATATTCTATAACAAAAATACTTTTACTATGGGTATTTTATTTTATGTTAAAAATAAATATTTATTAATTTTTATACCGATTTTTTATTTCTGAATTAACATTTTTATGTATAATAATCCTAACTATCTTCAACTTCAATCTAATCTGACTTATCCCACAAAATTTTCCAATTTTACTTTTTATGAAATAATGTCATACAACTTATGGTTTAGAGGTCAAATTGTTTATTTAATATTTTTAAATAAATATATATTAATATGTCGCAAAATTTTTTAAGGGGACGACAAATACATTTCACTGTCATATTATGACAGTGAGGCGTATTTGTCGCCTCCTGAAGAATTTTACGAATGTAGAATACAACATATTAGAACGTGGGTATCTGACATATTTGGAAATATTCTCAAAAGCTTCCTAGAAGCTCCATAAGAAACATTCCAAAAACGTTTTCTTAAAATGTTCTTAGGATGCTTTTTAGGAAGGTTTTAAGAAACTTTTAAGAATCTAATTGCATGATTAAAAGGGTATCTATTAAATGTTTTAAAAGTCCCTAAGAACATTCTTAGCAATAAGGGAAGGTTCTAAGAATATTCCATTATTCCGGGTCATATCTTATTAGAAGATTCTTAAAATCAAATTTTGCTATCAGGGAAGTAACTTACCATTAAGTACTTCTCCAGGGTTGAGCTTCCTGGCAAATCCAAAGTCGGTAATCTTCACATTTAAATTGTCATCTAATAATATATTTTCCGGTTTTAAGTCCCTGTGAACGACATCCTGTGAATGTATATGAGCCACCCCTTCAAAAATCTGCTTCATGATGTATCTGGTCTTTTTTTCCGATAACGTAACCACCGATGTTAAATAGTCAAATAATTCGCCGTTTTTACACAATTCGAATACCAGAAAAATGAAGGTGCTAGACTCGAAAACATCTTCCAGTTCAACTGTAAGAAGAGATTAAAAATGTTCCTTAAAAATGTTCACTTCTTAAAATTCCGTTAAATATTCCTCAAGGTCATCATAAAGGTCAAATTCTTAAGTGAAATTTGGCTTATTAGTTATTGGACACTTTATTTACGTTTACTTAAAAATAAGAATATTTGGATTTTTAATAATAGATTTATAAAAACATGCAAAAAAGTATAGCAATTGGACATTTTATATAGTAATTGGACACATGGACCATAGTTATTGGACATACAATTTTTATATAGACATAACAACTTTACATCAAATAACATAAATTGTTAAATATTTTTTAAAGATAAATTGCTGTTTTAGGTAATTTTTTTTATTTCGATTTTGTAAATATCATATAATTCATATATTTCTTTCTCGGATTCCTCATCCCTTTTCTGGATTCTGAAGGTAACTACTAATTCCTTGGTCTGACTTCTGAAATAGTTTGTTGCAAATATCATTAAGTGTGGTATCTCTATAGTTTGTGAAGCATTTATAATGTTTAGGCCGGAACAGGATGATTTATATATATCTAATATTTTTTCGGGTGGCATTTTAAAAGTATTTTCCGAATTTATTAATTTTGTTGCCATTACTTTTTTATGTTCTCTATCATGCACTGTTATTCTGCAAGATGTCCTGTGACGAAGAAATCACTATATTACTTACTCTCTAAAAATGAATTAGTCAAAAATGTCATAGCGCAAAGCAGCCACTAATAATTCTCGTCAACAGCAATTTCAAATTGCCAATTTGTATCCAGGACATTTGGCAGTCAATTCATATGAAATATTATTCGCTGAATCCGAAAATGTCGTCAAAAGTTATAAAAGTAGAACAGTTTTTGAAATATAATCAATTTTACATATAATATGGAATTGACTATATCTCAAAAACTGCTTGACTTTTATAGTTTTTGACAGTCTTTTCGGATTCAGGGGACAATTTTACATAAGAATTGGCTGGTAAATGTCCGGGATACAAATAGAGTATGATAATGGACATATGTCCAATAATAGAAATTTACATTTTTTACCAACCAGTAATTGGACACTGGCCATTACACTTTTTCAGAATTAAAATTAAACGCATTAAAGTGACAATGTTTAAACTATGAGGATCACATTTATACCACACACTAATCTGTACACTTTTTAGAAATATTTTTTATTGTAATTTAAACACAGCCCTGCTCTTAACAAAAAAAAACAAAAATCTTAACACCAAAGTAACGTGCGAACTTTTTTGTCTCATATTGGACCCAAAATAAAGTAGTTCTATATTATTACCGACTGAGATAGTTATAATTGTATACAGCGTCATCTAATGATTTGACTTTAAAGTAACCATTTATAGAACTCTAGTTTTTACAGTATTAATATTTATTGTCCAATAACTATAAAGTCTCCAATAACTGTCTACTTTACCCTATAATATTAAAAAGAAAAATACTAATATTAATTAGGTAACTAATGTTTTTTTATATTAAAAAATGCACAAAAAATTTGGATAATTTATGATTTTTATTATTATTTAATAGGTACTTATGACTATACCTGTATAAAACACAAGTTGCAACTTGTTTATAAACCATATAACAGGTACCTACCTAGATTAAATGTATGTAGGTACTTTTCTAAGAATAGTAGGTAGATGTATAAAGTATTAATATAAAGGGGTATAAATTTTAAATACAATAATGCACTTACGCCATACCACACTAAAGGGGGATTTATTTTATGTATAAAGATAACAATTTTTTCGCAAATAACTTTGTTTTAATTTATTATGTAATTTTTAAAATTTCATTAGGTGATAATTATAATTATATCCTTTTATAGGTAGGTAGGTTATTTTTAGTTAAAAAAAAATGACAATGTATGTTTATTTTTTTTAAATAAAATTTTATTATTAATTTATTAAAATGTCAGAAAAAACATATGCTAGCTAGCTGCAAATTTCTTGTTTATTTTGTTACCATAACAACCAGTATATTAACAAAACAATAAAAAATCAATTGGGAGCCTTGGAATAATTTTAAAAATAAAAATAATATTTTGTCCTTTATTACTTAAAATTATAATTAAATGTACTTACTTATATAAGGGTGTCCTATAACATGCCTAAGTATAGAAACTTCGGTTCGAGTTGCTTCTAGTGAAGCACCCCCTTCGTTTATCCCATCATTGGATAAATCAATTATTTTAGCTGCAAACTCCTTCCCAGTTTCTTTCTCTATGCATCTACGTACTGTGGAACTGATTCCTCTAAAATTTCCTTTGTTTTACAAAACAATATTATGATTTATTTGATATGTACCTTCCTAGTATTTCTTTTGGCTCATATTTAGCATAAAACTCTTTGGCTGCGTCCTTATCGGGTAACTTATCATCCTCCTCTTCTTTAGCCATTATTTTACCCGATAAAATCACTATTTTTCTAAAAATAGACCACCAAATACAAATTTACACACGTCAGAACAACTGTCGCCACTTTAAATCAATATAAAACCGCACAAATTGATTAGCAATTGATATTTTATTGATACAACACGAGGTTTGTCAGTAAATTAAACTGTTATTTTAAAGATAAACGTATTAATACAAATTTAACCTTCAAAATGTGTAGAAAACGTAGCTGTCAAAAATTAGGGTGGCCAACGTAGGATTACCAGAGTTGCCAACGTTAGATGCAAGTATTTTATTTTAGTAAAAAATTATGAGGTTTGTTCCAACTTTTCATTTATTTTTGGAATGGAATATTCCAAAAATCTTATATACATATATTTTTATATTTATCTATAGATAATAAGTATTCACCTTATCTTGTACTATTTACTTACAACCAAATGTTTATTTTATTTCAAAAAAAACAATCAAAAACGTTGGATGGATTATTCTTAAATCCTAAGACAAATATTTTTTCATTGTTATACATGTCTTAAAAATATTCCTAATAAACATATTTTTTTAAGTACCTACATTACTTAAGTCTTCACTATATATAAAAGGTTTAAACCTTCAAAATGTTTTATTTTATTTTTATCAAGTAAAAGTGGTGCATCAAAGTTAAAAAATAAAATAAAAGTAGTTTTGTGTGTCTACCATCAACAAAATGAACCTAGCGAAATTAAGATCCATTGATGACTTGGATTTAGCCAATAAAAGGATTTTAATAAGGTTAATGCGTCATTCTTTTTTCTACGACCAACACTAAAACAAACAATTTTTTTGCATTTTTAGGGTCGATTATAACTGCCCATTCGATAATGATGGAAACATAACGGATTATTTCAGGATTGAAGAATCCTTAAAAACCATAAAATATTGCATTGAAAAAAAATCGAAAAGTATTGTCCTAATGTCGCATAGAGGGCGCCCAGGGGGGAAAGTTGTCGAATTTTTATCGATGGAAAAGGTTGCCAAAATTTTGGAAAAACTTTTGCAAAGGTATGTGCGAAACAAGAATTGAGGATTCTTAATGTGGGTGAAAAGTTGTGAAGTTTGAGTACCAACATGATTTTTTAACAAGTTTGACAGGTTGTTCGTTTTTTGTTATTTTAGCGTGAAATTTGTGTGTGGGTTATATTTTGAGTTTTATTATTTCAATTCGGAATATTTTTAAACTTCTTTAATATTTTGTGGCGTAATTTAACAAATTTAAGTTATTTTGACAGGTCCCTTATTTATTGAGATTTCATAACAAAATTTAGTACACACGTTTATAATAACGTTAATAACAATAATAAACAATAATATTCATATAATTCAATATATTTAAAAAAAAATAGTATTTTAAAACCTGTCAAACCTCCAAAATTTGTTTTAAAATTTTCCATTAAATCTGCAAAAGTTGCATTTTTGAGTACCCACAACCTATTTCTCCTATTTTTATAGAAAAGTTATTTTTTTGCTGTAATTTTATATTTTTATTTTGACACGTGCTTTATTAATTGAGATTTCATAACAAATTTTTTTAAACACTTTAACAATAACGTTAATAACAATAATATGGATTAATATTCATGTAATTCGATATATTTTTTGAAAAAAATAGTATTTTCAAACCTGTCAAACTTACAAAATTTGTTTTAATATTTTCTTTTAAATCTGCAAAAGTTGAATTTTTTGAGTACCCACAACCTATATACATGTGTATATCTCCTATTTTTATAGAAAAGTTATTTTTTTGCCGTAATTTTTACAAATTTACTTTATTTTGACAGGTGCCTTATTAATTGAGATTTCTTAACAAAATTTTATACACACGTTTATAATAACCATAATAACAATAATATGTAATAATATTTATGTATTTCCATATATTTAAAAAAAAAGATTGTTCAACCCTGTCAAACTTACAAAATTTGTTTTAATATTTTCTTTTAACTCTGCAAAAGTTGCATTTTTTGAATACCCACAACCTATATCTCCTATTTTTATAGAGAAGTTATTTTTATGCCGAAATTTTACAAATTTACGTTATTTTGACAGGTGCCTTATTAATTGAGATTTCATAACAAAATTTGATACACACTTTTATAATAACGTTAATAACAATATTATGCAATAATATTCATGTAATTCAAAATATTTTTTGAAAAAAATAGTATTTTCAAACCTGTCAAACTTTCAAAATTTGTTTTAATATTATCTTTTAAATCTGCAAAAGTTGCATTTTTTGAGTACCCACAACCTATATCTCCTATTTTTATGGAGAATTTATTTTTATGCCGTAATTTTACAAATTTACGTTATTTTGACAGGTGCCTTATTAATTGAGATTTTATAACAAAATTTGATACACACTTTAACAATAACGTTAATAAGAATAATATACAATAAAATATATGTAATTCAATATATTTTTTGAAAAAAATAGTATTTTCAAACCTGTCAAACTTCCAAAATTTGTTCTAATATTTTCATTTAAATCTGCAAAAGTTGCATTTTTTGAGTACCCACAACATATTTTTATAGAGACGTTATATTTTGCCGTAATTTAACAAATTTAAGTTATTTTGACAGGTGCCTTATTAATTGAGATTTTATAACAAAATTTGATACACACGTTTATAATAACGATAATAACAATAATATGCAATAATATTTATGTATTTCAATATTTAAAAAAAATAATAACATTTTCAAACCTGTCAAACTTACAAAATTTGTTTTAATATTTTCTTTTAAATCTGCAAAAGTTGCATTTTTTGAGTACCCACAACCTTTATCTACTATTTTTATGAAGAAGTTATTTTTTTGTCGTAATTATACAAATCTACGTTATTTTGACAGGTGCCTTATTAATTGAGATTTTATAACAAAATTTGATACACACGTTTATAATAACGTTAATAACAATAATACGCAATAATATTCATGTAATTCAATATATTTTTTGAAAAAAAATAGTATTTTCAAACCTGTCAAACTTACAAAATTTGTTTTAAAATTTTCTTTCAAATCTGCAAAAGTTGCATTTTTTGAGTACCCACAACCTATATCTACTATTATTTTTAGAGAAGTTATTTTTTTGCCCGACCATATACCCAGCATTAAAACAGAGGAGTTTTGTATGGACCCCCCTGAAAACTCGATAATAGTATTGGAGAACTTAAGGTATCATATAGGAGAAGAAGGTAAAGGTAAAGATTGGCTAGGCAACAAAACCGAAGCTACAGATGAGGAAGTAAAACAATTTAGGGAGAGTTTGAGAAAATTAGGTGATATTTACATAAACGATGCCTTTGGTACAGTCCATAGAGATCATTCATCCATGATGGCTTATGGTTTTAAAATTAAGGCCGCTGGTTTCCTAATGAAAAGTGAGCTAGTGCATTTGAGTGCTGTACTGAATGAATCACAAAAGTAAGTACCTACTTAACAAAAAAATTAAAAATCGTTTTGATGATTTTTTTATGTCAGTTCCAGACCGTTGGTGTGCATTTTGGGTGGTAACAAGTGTGAAGAGAAAATCCCTTTGATGAACCATATGTGTGATGTAGCAGATGAAATCATTATTGCAGGTAAGTTTTTCCTAGTTAAATAATACTAAAGGTCCACTAAACTTTTTTCCTGCTAGGGGGTCAAGCTTACAACTTCCTTAAATTCGTCTACAATGTCGAAGTTGGTGACACTCCCATAAAACCAGAGCTGGAACAAACCATCAAATGCATAGTCGAAAAAGCTAAGAAAAACAACGTAAAATTACTAATCCCCGAAGATTTCTACATTACAGATTTTTTTGTCGATGGGGAAATGAAATTGTCAGATATGACCCTGGGGATTTCCCCTGGTTGGATTGCTGGCGATATAGGCCCAAAAACTATAGAAAAGTTCAAGAAGTCCATTCAAAAAGCCAAGGTCATTTTGTGGAATGGGTAGGTAGTTTTTAAAAACAGTATTTTTTTAAATCAAAGTACCTATGTTTCTATGGTAACATTACCACCTAATTATTTTATTCTGTAGTCCAGATCATTTAAAAATTGATTTTTTTACTATGACGTACTGTTTTAAACTATAAAACTGATTTTATTAAAAAATAGTAAAAAATTCTTTCATACGAATTTAATAGTTTTTTTATTATAGACCTGTAGGTACAGTTAAATTTGAAAAGTTCCAACCTGGTACCAAAATTATTTTAGAAGAAATCATCAAGGCTAAGGAGAGAGGAGCGATTGCCATTGCAGGTAAATAAATATAAAAAAAATCGATATTTTTTATCAAATGGAAATTTTAACCAATGATAATTTTATCTAATGGAAATTTTATCCGGTGGGAATTTTATTCAGTGGAAATTTTAATAAGAATTTTATCCAATGCAAATTTTATCCAATGAAAATAAATATCTGACAGTTTCGTTCCTTAAAAAAAGGCGTTTCAATTATTGAGAGAATAACGTCATGAACAGGATTCATTTAAAAAAAATCTGTAAAATTTAACTAAACAAATGGACACTCTGTATGTATAAATTTGTATTTTAGGTGGTGGTAGAACTGGTTTTTGTTTAACGAAATGGAACGCTGAGGAGAAGCTATCACACGTCAGCACAGGTGGTGGGGCGTTCTTAAAAATTTTGGAGGGGAAATCGTTTCCAGCTGTTGAAGTATTGTTAGAAAATAATAAATAAATAAATAAAAAACTATTTCAACTTTTATTTTTTCTGTATTTTTTAAAAACAAACAAATATAAAATGTTTTTTCTTAAACATGTATTTTAAAAAGTAATTCTATGAAAAACTATGAATTCTCGTAGCAATAAGCAGCTCTCCCAGACTGTACACTATTTCTTTATTAGCACTTTGTACTGTACTCCTAACCATTATAGTACTAGTACTCCTCATGAGCTGGTATAAGTCAGCGCAGTACTAAAAAAGATAAAAAGTAATGTAATATACCTATTTAACGAGTGTGCAAAATTTGATTTTAAGAATCTTTTAAGAAGATATAACCCGGAATAATGGAATATTCTTAGAACCTTCCCTTATTGCTAAGAATATTCTTAGGGACTTTTAAAACATTCAATGGATACCCTTTTAATGATGCAATTCGATTCTTAAAAGCTTCTTAAATTCTTTAGGAGACGACAAATACGCCTCACTGTCATAATATGACAGTGAAATGTATTTGTCGTCCCCTTAAAATTTCGCGACATAATATGTCGGACATATTAATATATATTTATTTAAAAATATTAAATAAACAATTTGACCTCTAAACCATAAGTTGTATGACATTATTTTATAAAAAGTAAAATTGGAAAATTTTGTGGGATAAGTCAGATTAGATTTAAGTTAAAGATAGTTAGTTAGGATTATTAAACATATAAATGTTAATTCAGAAAAGTCAAAATTTTTGTAAAAAGATAAAAATGTTGGAGAAATATGGTATTTAATAGTAATAAATATTATGAAGACTTGCTGGAATGGTTAAAAAGAGTAATGTGGAATATAAAAAATTAAAATGGTTTGGCAGTACCAGTTACAGAACTGTTTTGTTAAACTATTATACAGTGAAATTTACAATTACATAAATAAATGAATAAATGAAAATGAATGAATTTTTAACATAAAATAAAATACCTATAGTAAAAGTATTTTTGCTATCGAATATTGTTTTAATTTGACAAATAACTATAAAAAAATATTTTGGATTGTGTTTTTTATTTAGTATTTAATATTAATTACTAATTAGGTACTTAAGTATAGGTATATACCTTTATACGTAGTTTATGGTATATTTTACTATTATATGGGTAACTGAACTAAATATGCTTAACAGGAATATTCCTAAATGAACTTTCTATAGCAATAATTTTTTTAACATTCTATGCGCATATGTTTAGAGTAGACTAATTTTTACCACTAAAACTTTGCACCTTCTAAGAACCTGCCTATAGGCCAGTAAGAATATTCTTAGGATCATGCTATATGTCTTTTAAGCATGTTCTTTAGAAGAAATATAGCATGATCCTAAGAATATTCTCACTGGAAGGTTTAAAAAACATTCTTAGAATAAAGTGTGCTATCAGGGGAATAAGCAGTAGGTACCTACTTTTATACCTTCTACCTCATCTTCGGTAAAATTTTGACTTATTTCAGTGCATTCTATGAATGTGGATTTTTCTGGCGTTATTAAAGCCATAGAGTAGTTTTTCTGTAACAAAAATAAAAAAATATTTTTAAATTAGTATTTGTAAGGCTTAACTTCGTTTTAAGGTGTACTACGTTACCTGTCTGGTTTTGTTTGGTATGTACTCTCTCATTTGCAGTAAAATTCTTCTCCTTCCAGTTGAAACATTCCATCTCGACCAAGTAAACTGGAATGAATTGTAAAGTTGCGCCATCGTCCTACAGCAATGTCTTTCCATGTGCCAATGTTTTTCACAAACCCCTGTATGTTAAAAGTATACTTTTAAATATAATTGCCCAAATATTAAGTCCTATATTGTACATTTATTTGCAAAACTTTTCCAAAGATGAAAGGGCTATTCCTGGCCAAGTTTCAGCCTTATATGGTTCTCTGGGATTACTCTCTGGCAAATTGCAAATTTTTTTTAATTGATAGGTACTTACCTTCAACATACAAAAATGCATCAAAACTGGGAAAAATATCCATTCCAGCTTCTTTCATCATCTAAATACAATATATAAATAAATACAATAAAGTTTATTAGGTACGAAGAAATCTAATTTTTTCAAGTGAATAATAATTTTTAAAATATGTGGGTCATTTTCAAGAAACACCCGCTTTCAGGAAAATGAAGATCAAAATATTTTTTTTGCTTAAATTGACTTTTGGTTGGATTTTTTATAAATGTTTAAAGTTTTGTTTACTTACATTTAAGACAGGCAGTGCACTTTTTAATTTTTTTTTACGTTTTTTTCAGAAAAATGTATTAAGCTAGCTTTATATATCTCCACTGAATTAAACTCTAATTTATAAACACGTATTACCAAGTGATAGTGTATAAAAATCATTTTAAGTATTTTTTTTAACAAAAACTAAAAATAGTCAGTTGGCTTATGGGACTTCTTAAGAAGTAAGGGTGGAACTAAAAGAGCACTTTTTTTGTTTTTGAAATAGACATTGTTATCACAACGGACAGGACTTAATCAGATAACGTAAAAAAGAAACTATATAGGGTGGTACGATTTTAGAGTAATGCATAAACAAAATCCCTTGTAGTGGTGCTCACTTGCAGAATAACAACTTGGATTTCTAAATTGTAGACACCCTTTTTCTTTGACTATAAGCAGGTGAAGGTCCCTTTTAGTACTTTTATGTTGCGTGGAATTTTTACTTGGATGTAATTTATATCATGAGTTGTAATTACAAATAATTTTAAATTTGTTAATTATAAACTACTTTTAATGAAAGCGACGGTAAATATCCACTTTGTTGTCGAAACATTCTATTGCGTTACCCTAAATTCCATTGCGTTACCATAAGGTAACATAGTGGACTCGGTAACGCAGTGGACAAAGTTTTGTAAAACCATATATAAAAAATAATAATAAGACATTTTAGTCATTAATTACTCTCAATGAGCTTTAGTGCCCTAAAATAAACATAAACATGAAAAATAGTATTTTTTCTTACCATATTTTTAATATTTTTTTGAGTAACTTAGCGGACAAACAATTATTACATTCGCGTTACCCGCACCTGTTTCAACCGATATCTTCTTCCTGATTGAATAAATAAATTCAGCTGGGTAATGTGTACGTCCGAACATCATTTTTTGATCACGTGAGTACCAAAAAAGTTGCCATATATATGTTTTTTTAAATATTCTATCGGTAACGCGACGGACGCAACGCAACGGAAAAAATGTCTGGGACATGAGTCAAATTTAAAAAAAGTAGATTAAAATTAATTATTTTATATATAAATTGTTTACTGTATTAACTAAGGATGTTATGGATTGCTATAAAGCAACACAAAGTTCTGGTTATTCAATATTTAAAAAAAAAACATGTATGTAAGTTTTATAAAACGCTAATGAGACATGCGAAAATGTGTGTTTCACAAGTTTCAAAATTAAAAAAAAAATATTCTGAAATAACTAAACAAAAATTTTCTGAAAGAGTTTACTAAGGGCTTGTTAGGCTTTCACTTGGTTTTTAAATCAATAAGATCCGATAATTTTTAACAAAGTTATTGGAATTCACACGGAAAAAAGAAAACAGGAAAACTTAACTTCGCATTTAGCATTTATTACAGTTTCGGGTAGCAAGTGATCTCTTCAAACTCAAAACTGCAATATGTACACTATTTCCGTGATACTGCAAGTATTACAGTTTTAAGTCATATACATTGTAGGTTCAAATCATAAATATATTTTAAAACTTAAAGACTTGATTATAAGAATTACTATCTCAAACTGTAATTTTTCGCACAAGCCTTTGGAACAGGCGTCTGAGAAATAAAAATTACAGTTTCATTTAGTAAGTTGTACTTGAATTTGCTTAAATGTTTATTGATTTTTTAACCCTTTATTAAGATTAGGTAGTGGGAATTTTGCAGTTTCAGATAGCAAAATTTAAAAATCAAGAAATGTAAATTTTACTCGTTTTATAATATAAAATATAGTTTTAGATTTAATAAATGATATTCAAATATCAATCTTTAATGATTGAATAGTAAATTTTGTAGTTTTAGAATGTTAAATATATTAAATTTGCTGTAGTATATGGGGCATTCCACGGTACTCAGAAATTTTCGTCCTGCCCGCCACAATTAAAAATTGTCAATAAAAACCACTTGTAATTAAATTTATTTTGAAATATTGTTTATTATGATTGTAATAAGCTTGTAAGCATAATAATCTTAATATATGATAATAATAATTTATTACACGCGTGTGGTTTTATTCAGCATTTTTAATATTAACGAACATGAAAATTCCTAAATATTGTGGAAAGCCCTATATACTAATTAAATGCCAATAATAATAAGGTTTAAATAATTAAAACTTAAAAACATTGTATTTATTTATTTATTACAAATTACACGTAATTAACATAACACAGGAAATATTTTTTTTTAATTAGACAAGAAAATATCAATGTAGGTATATTATGAAAAAGATATAGTATATACGTATGTATATATTATGAAATTTTCTTGTAAAATTTTAAAAAATATTTAATTAATCAATTTACTTATTTAGGGTACAAAAACAAATAAAAATATATTCTAAGGAACTTACACCAACATAATAAATCTTTTTTTTTTAATTAGACAAGAAAATTTAAAATATTGAATAAAATATGAATAAACCTACTTTTAAGTAAAAAAATAAATGAAAATACATTCTTAGGCACTACATATTTTTACTTAAATATAATTGCCATAGAATATTTATATTCTATGGCAATTATATTTAAGTACAAAATAAATAAAAATAAATTACACCGAAAAAACAATTTGTTTGAGAGAAACGAAATTGATTTTAGGTAAACTAATCCTGTGGTTGTATATTGCGCAACTAATATAGACTTAAGGCAAGTAATTACTTAGTTTGGTAAAGTTGGTTTCGAACAAACTTATATTAATTTGACGTAAATGCATACATTTCTTTACAAATAGCAGATTATGTTCTTGCAACTAAATATTTATTTCTAATAAATTTTTCATTTCTTTGTATTAAACATGCACCTATTTGGGATAAACGCATG